TAAAGCTTTTAAACATGTTGAAATAAGTAATCTGTCAAAAATATCCTGTGAATATCTTTCGAGGAGGATTGATACGTGATATTATATAATTATAGTAGACACGTTTATAGTACTTATGATATAGCTTAGCTTCATATATTTCCAAAGAAAACTGAATGGTAAAATAAGAATAGATTTGTTATCTTTCTGATTCGTATCACCAGCTACTTCATGCTGGTATTTCCATAGACAGTGAAAGCATGATGAAACTCCATTCATGTGCAGTATTGGTTACTTATATAGATCTAAAAGATGCGTCATGCTCTTGTGGCACAATAGCTTTATATTCTGCACGATAAAATATGGAACATAGGACAAAAACAATAAAAATCATCAACAGTGACTCGCAAGTTATGGTTCAGTGAAAACACAAGTACGGTACAGATCCTTTAAATTGTTTTAGCAAGACAGGTACATTTATCAGAATGTTCGCCCCTATTTTCAATAAAGTTTTATCAATATTCAAAGATATCTATACAAGTGTCTGTCCGGTAAAATGAGTTAATCTGAGTAAATATATAAACTCATCCAATAAAATTTGAAATAATTTAATGCAAAGAATTAAATAAATGTTTGAAATTTATAAGCATTTACTAAATTGTAAGATAGACAGTATTGTGCTGTTTAATTATAAAGAACTCTTATAATTTTCTCTAAAAAAAGGAAGTTTGTTGTATTATAAAGTCAGTATGAATAATATTCCTAACAAGTTATGGGACCGTATGCGGCTCGGGTGATCACAACAGCGAACTCAGAATCGAAATCTGTTCACAAAAAAAAAAAACACCTTTAGAAATAAATAAAATAGTTTGTTGAACGTAGGCTATTCTATTAACATACCGGTCAATGAAATTTTCAGTGGAAGGAACATGGAAGCAAGACTCGAACATCTATATTTATATATAACTATATTGTGTTAAACACTCAAAACAAACGTTTCTCTTATGTCAAAGTAAAGGGTTGTGCTGAATTGAAAAATGCGTTATGTCTAGTTAAAACTTCACAGTAGACATTAATGTTATCGGACCTACCGCACTGCGTTGCAATCGAATCAACCTTTGTCTGCATTATAATCTTTTTTTTTCAATTCTTTTATAACAAAAATAACAATTCCAGAAGTTTTAAAAATATGGTTGTTTTGTGCAAGTATCATACATACGATGTGATGCTGGTGTATTTAGGGGTCGTTTTTCACACGTTTCTACGTGTTTTAACTATAATTAGGCAAAAGTGGTGTCCCCTCGTTAAACTGTAGAGAAGTGTTTGCATAAATGGGAATACATTGTACCGTGTTCATATAAATAAGTTAGAAGAGTACATATGTGAGCTCACGTCTCACCAGATGATAATTCAGTCATAAACTTACCGACAAAAGCAAACGGACATTTTTTTATCAACCGCTTCTGCGACAAATACTCCACCACCGCTGCGATGGACCCATCGCTTCTGCCAAAGCTATGGCCAGTGTGGTAACCAATGGTAGAATTCTACCATTGACATACCAATGGTACCCATGCTTACAGACAAATTTGGTAGATACGTTTTCTGACACAATAGTGCTTAGGTACTGTAGCTTTTGACGTCAAAATGAGCAGATTTTCATTGATATATTGGTCCTCATTGATCATATAAGGCAGAAATAATTTATTTTTGAGTAACATTTATTGGTAGCAACACAAATCACAAAAAACCTGGACTAAACTATAGATCAAATTTATGACTAAGATCAGTCGACTGGGGTGCCATTGATTCAACTTTTGAATACCAACTTTTATTATAATGCCAATGACACAAATAGTATGGTCAAACATGTCCAGAGTAAACTGCCAATTACTCGTACCAATGGTGATTGATGTTACCAATGGTATTTTAGTATTTGTACCACTAGGGATATTCTGGAACGTAGCTACTGAGCAGAGATATATTTTTACTGTTTCTTAGTGTTTGTAAACGCATTAATTTAAACAGATGTTTAAGGTCACTCACTGCATATCACTGACCCTACATCGCTCTTGGTTCGAATCACGTCAGGGACCTAGTATTATTTCATATAAGGAAGCGATCAAGCTAGCTTACGGAAGGTCGTTGCTTGAAATAATGCACGAAGGGGTACCTGAGATTTACCTCTACCAGTAAAGCTGAAAAGTTGCCATGTGGCTAATACATTGTCATCGTTCCTTAAAATGCGACAACAAAAACAACAACAACATCAACAACAACAACAACAACAAAAATAACAAAAAAATACATCATCAGTGCTAATTGAATTTATAAGAAGCTAGTAGTGTAGCATATGTACATGATAATAAATAGTATGCAATATCAAAACTACAAACATATTGACAGTTTGCTTCCCTTTTTATCCAATCAGAGACGCCAATTTCAAATCAATTTGAAAGTTATATCCCCTGTGTCCTATAAAATGTATGTAGGAAAAATAAGTTGTTTATATTAAGTGATAGTTACAGCGCGTGACATGTCGTTTGAAGGTGGAGTTATGCAATTAAGGTAAATTAAGATACGGGTATAATAAATCTGAAAAACAAAGCATGTACAATAATAAATTATTGTAAAGACTTTATAATAAAGCTACAACATTTAAAAGCCATCACTGCGTTGTACAAAACTGATAGTGAATACTTGTAAATGTGGCTCTTTGCTCGTTTATGTCATACACCGATAGCAAAGGCCTCTATTCCAACGTTACTGATAGGCATGTGCACTGGAAGTATCAATCGTGAATAAAGGGCGGTCTGATCAAAATTTCAAAAGACGTTGCAGATGTGCGTTATTAGCAGACTCTAAACAATTTATTGCTTTATACAAAATATGGAACTTATTGTTTCATGCAGTATAACTAAGCAAAAATAAAAAAGTTACGAGAATAACATTTTTTTGTACAGTTATACATAAACTGAAAATATGAAAAATAACCAAAATGATTCTGTGTTATAAACTAATACATTTAATTAGTAGTAATCCTTAATTTAATTTAGGTTAACTCAAATGAATAGCAATTTATTCAATATGGCACTTAGGAAAGGAAGAAAACATATTTATTAATCTTTAAAAAAAGAAATTACCAAAATTACTTAAAAATTGTTCAAAAATGTTTCAGTGAAATTAGATAGTCTCTAAGGTTTACTTATTGCCAAAGTACCTAAAGCAGATTGATTAGTTAATAAATAAATTAAATTAATAAACTTTAGAGAGCTTTCAGAGATGTTACTTCTTCAGAGATTAGCACCAGAAAGTCAAAACTCCATGAGATGTCTGGTTAAATGAACTTCTGAATCCCAGAGTGAGCTAACATCTTCAAACAAGTGGCATTGTATGTAACAATTTATCTGATTCGTCTGCAAACAGCCAACCAGAATTTAATTTACAAATGCTTTAGCTTATAATTTCTTTACATAATTATTCTAAAAATGGATAATGATTCATGGAAAATTTGCAGCAGTATCATTAATCAAAGTGCTGCAGCACTGAATGCGACGGACATGCAACCGGAGAGACATTAAGGTTTTTTAGAAAAAAAAAACACAAAAGATATAACAGAGAAAATTTGTTCCATACAAGTTCGAGATTTGTAGAGCAATATATTTTATGTGTCCAATCTGATATAACTTACACAGAATGAAATTTATGCCTAAAAACTCTGGTCAAACTTGTAAATCAGTGTCCTTATCGATTTATTCCAAGGAATGATATTTAAATAGAAAAAAACTGTCAACGAAATATTTCTAAAATAAAACCATGCAAATTAACTTCAAGCATAATACATTATACATGTGAGAATGTTATTTAGAATTAATCGTGTTATATCATAGTGGGCATATAGACAATAAAATAAACATAGATGTAGAGGCCAGAGCACATCGTTTTTATTTTAATTTAAATGTCAGTTAAGCTGTCCTTTCAATTTTCACACTAAATTCATTTTCAACTTGTTTTGCTTCTTACAATTGTAAGTATTGCATGTAAGCAAAGTAAGTATCCGCTGGTTTATTACATGTATAATGTGTACCCCCTAATCGCCTGCAGGTGAAGCAGAATCTATTTTTTAGAATAGCGAATGTTAACTCATATCGTGACTTAGAAAAATATGTAAACAAACCACAAGAATCAGAAGTAGAACTGATATTATAACTTCCTTCAATAAAGATTACCATGAAAGACTACATGGTAGTAAAGTGTTTGAAAAAACTCTCTTGTTACATGCATTTTCAAAAATAGATATTTATACTAACCATTATACTGTATGTAATTTATTAATAACTGCTGAATATATTCAGCTAACAACCCGGTATGAGTCACGAAAATAGTTCTTCTTTTATTAATGCGCGCAGTTATTCTAGAGACACGGAAAAACTTTGATTTGTTAATAATAATATTTTGTATAATGTAGAAATATTAATTTCCTACTTAATTAATTTCTTGGAACTCAGAGCTTACACCTTTATTATAGTATGATTTTGCTGTCCTACTTTTTTCGACAGCTGTAAATCGTTTCGGCAGTAATTTGTATATTGCGCAATAATACTACGGGACTACAACGTTTTTTATCAATCAATACGTTCATATTTTTACTTGGATAACTAATTTGAAATTGAAAAGGCTAAATATGGAAGATTTTAAGATATCCCGACAAAGTATGTGAGTTTTAAAGGATCAAATTCATGTACTATTTCTGGGCTGTTATTCGGTTGAAGACACTTTGCGCGATTGTAGCAGACGAAATCCCATGTGTAGATGACTTAGCTCTGAACGCGCCTGAGGGCGCGTCCGTCGCAAAAATGATTACAAAAATGAGAAAGTATAACAAAACAATTTAAACAATAAACTAGAAACTTCTATCACACGTAACTTATCTATAAACATATAAAAGTCAAGAAAAGTCAACTACTTGTAAGTTCGAGGCCTGGCAATGTGAAAGTTTAACAATCTGTGTATTGGCCTGGCTAGGTGAAAATGACATCAGTGCCCAGTAATGAGTTCCATCTACTCTAAGATAACAATCAAAACCAACATTTCTTAGTTAAAAATAAGCATAAAAGTTTATGAATGATGTTGTTTAAAGAAATGGGTCTTTTAATCAGTATTATGCAAAGTCAAGTAATTCTAAAAATATTCTGTAATGTTATATCATAATAATGTCAAAAGTAAAATCAAAATTATACAAGATATGCATACATGTGTGGGTGTTTGCACGTTTATATATAGTTTGTTATTAATATAACCAGTCACACCACGGTATTGTATTGTTTGGCATTATTGACTGTTTAATTTATTTGAGGGTTTTCGTTAGTTTTCGTAGTTTACTATGAGTTACACATGAGTTTGACTAAAAGTACAAATGTAAAGATAGCTATACTGTCACCTATAACTACTAATCAATGGTCTAGTGGTAAGTGCAACGGAATTGTGTTCAAGTTGTTGCAAGTTCAAATTCTTGATAAACCATTTTAATTTTTCTTACTTTTTAAACTTAATAACCTTTTCTTTAAATCATGTTTTACACCTTGTTAGTGAGGGTAGTAGGAGAAAAGTTCCGCTGGAATTTTTTAAGCAATACCTATAACGTTGTGCCGTTCTTGAAAATCCGTGTTATCTATTTTGGATTCCGATAGTTACCGAACGAACAAAGGGTCATTGAATATACAGTAAATTAATTTGAGAATTAGGCATTTTGTTTATGGTCATAGAGAAAATTTGACATGTCAGTTTAATACTTTTCAAGAAAACCATTGAAATAATATTTCATTGTGGGAAGAGATATAAAAATAAGTAAATATTTTGATTTGTTTAAAGGAATATGTGATCGGTCATTCATTAATTGCATGGATGTCATCAGTTTCCTCTGTATTGTTTTCCGTTTTATCCAAAATCGCTGCTAATTGGGCGCCCATTTTTTGCATGTGTTCCTCTAACTTTGTTTCAAGAATTTTAAATTTCGTATCTAATCCGGCTACCACTCTTGAATTATCACCCTGTAAATAAATAAGAAGTTTAAAAAAATGAATAAAAATAATGAAATTAAATAAATTAAAAAAAAATAGAAAATAATGAAAAGGTATATATACATCTATTTAGTTTAAAATCATTTGTTTTCTACACAGACATTTAATTAAATTTATAACATACAGGGTGTTTCATAATATCTGTCCTTAATGTACGCTTGAATAATTTCTACATATATCAGTTTAAAATTAATGGAAAACTACATATGTTTTACAGACATAATAAATACCATTTTATTTGCTATATTTTTCATAGACAATACTTCTATATGAATTGATGGCCTAAAGTATTTGTACCAGTCAGTTTTACAACAAGTACTTAACATGACGGCCGTTCTGAGCAATTATTCAAAATATTAATAAAGTGGCAAGCGACATTCCTGTTGGGACCGTACTTAGGGCTATACACAATGGTATTACTTATGAACTGTCGGCTGTTTTCATCCTATCCTATGCATTTACATCTTATATCTCACTCCCAGCAATAAACGATTAATCTCATTGACCTTATTCATAACACATTTTCTATACGTATTTCGATTTTGTACGATTTATAGATTGATTTTAGAAATAAAAACGTAAACATGCAAAGTCAACGTAGTTTTCTGTAAGTGAATAATGCAGTATGTCATGTATGGATTTATATATATAAATATTCTTTTTCCACAATAAATAAACTTCAATCAATTTTGCTAGATCTATTTTTATTTTTTTATTCTTGATAAAGTGTAACTGAATATTTATGGTCTATTTTTCTTTTATTGTACTTATATTGTATTTGTAAGTATATCGTATCTTCTTGGTGGAAATAATTTATTCAATTGAAGTTTTATAAAATAACATTAAATTATAAAGTTTTTGCCTAAATCAAGACACAGCATAATCACCGTATATATCCAGTAACGCAGGAATGTAAAAATAGCACATGAATTGTGCAACAGTAACGCCGAGTCTGTTGTACAAAGCTTTGTCCGAAACGAGTAACACCGTAAGTAATTAGGGGACCAAAATGATATAAAGTAAATCAAATCAAAAGAAATGAATAAGCGCATACGAGTGCTATGAAAATATATTTTAACTAGCATTACAAATATGTCCAAGAATATGTTTACTGTTAGAGAACAGTCGTCTAAATGACGACCTGACTTTCGTTTTGAAAGTTACTTTCGTGTTTCGCACAATAACGTATTTAATTTTGTGTTTGTTATTGTATCCGGTATACCTTAGACATTTGCCAAACTACTAGTATAAAAAAATAGCAAATAGATGCAAATACAATATAATTATTTACTTTTATGATGTAACCACCGTTTGTGCATCATTAATACATTACCTCGTAAAACTGGTCTCAGTCACATTTTCTCTATCATTTTAAGTGTAATAATAATATGACAATAGTAGATTGGCAGGTATACCTGATATTTTAAACAATAATTAATAAAATGTGCAATTGTAGAAAATCATATTGCCAAAGCTAAGATAATCAGGTTGGTTTTATCATCATTGAGAGAATGCGTTTTTATCAGTAACGCAGTCTACCTGGTGGTAAATTTGGCTGGACTTGGTTGGCGGATCGCTTACTTGGAATGTTTGCGTGGCATATGCATTTCCACAGAACCAAAAATTAAATACCTCTTATCACTTGAAAATTTACCGGAATATTTGCTTGTTCATAGATTTTGATCTACTACTTGTAATTGGCTACTGAACATCATTGTACCTACCTATAAGTACATTACATTCAATTCAAAAACAAGATCCAAATCAAGATACTCCTATAATATTTCTATTAGATAGTGTGGTTTCCATACAATATATGATGACGTAGATATATGTATCATGTTACGTAGCCACTCTGTATTAGCCTCTTAAACACCAAGTAGTGTACAATAGTGGCTCGTAGTGAATAAACATATAAAACATACACTGTGTTACTTACTGGGTTCTCGGTCCCCAGGGATACATAGCAGATATAACAGATAGACATCGGTTGGATCACTCAAACAATGCCCAATTACATAGGACTAATTATCACTAGTGAAACCTTAGCCTGCATGACCTTAAAGTGGTAAGCCTTTACCAACGTTATATATCGAGGCCACCCTGCACATCAGCACAGTCTGACAGACTTTAAACTGATGTCTAACCGTCTTCAAATTTTCATTTTGTTTTCTATGTCTGTTTATGGTCATATTGTTTAGATGTTGACATGTCATTAGTACTTATTTAGAAAACCGCTGAAATGATATTTCATTGTAGTAAGGAAATATGAAAATAAGTAAATATTTTGATTCGTTTCAAGGAATATGTGATAAGTCATACATTAATTTTACGGTTGGCATCAGTTTCTTTTCTGTTGTTTTCCATTTTATCCAAAATCGCTGCAAATTGTTTGCCACTATATTGCATATGTTCCTCTAAGTGTGTTTCAAGAGTTTTTAATTTCGTGTCAAATCCGGCTACCTCTCTTGATGTATCACCCTGTAAATAAATAAATAAATAAATAATAAAAAATAGAATAAAATTAAAAAATGATATAGAAAGTAAAAAAAAAAACAACACACAAATATATAAGAGTATATAGCTATATATAGTTTGAAATCATTTGTTTTCTTCACAGAGATTGGATTAAATTTATGACATTCATGATATTCATAATTTTACGAAAGTTTTTGAAAGTAACATACATTTTGCCGAGTGTTTCTTATAAACTTTCTGTTTTTATAATTACATTATTTTCTAAGAAACGGAAGTAGCATTTCGCACATGTCCATTCTGCGTCGGGCATAAAACGATATCGGATTTTTATGCAGACCATGTAGAGACATTATGTCCGTCGTGGGTTTTGGTGTGCACAAAATATGCAATGCGAATGAAGAACATGTCGCTAAAGGAACTTAAAATACAGAATTTATTCGAAATCTTACCACCAATTGCTGCTTAACATTCAAACAATGTCTTACTAAAATATTTATCGTGATTTGGCTCAAAACAAAGGAATTGATGGTTACAATTCCAATCGAGCTTCATATGTGCTGAAGAGATCATTTGGTGATAAAGGAAACCATATAGAAAACTACGGATCACTTTCAGATAAAAATTGAATAGCCAATCTTAATGTTTCGTAGCATTGGCTGAACGTCCATTAGTCAGTGTTTGGTAATTAAATATCACTACATAAATAGGCTAACTATCTGATGCTAGCATTAGAAATACTCATAATACAGTGAATATAAAATGTTTGACACACAGCGAATTCTACTCGTATGATAAATAATTTCCCTTTGAGAAAACGTAGCTTTGGCAAGCCAAACTTAAATATATTATACAGCTGACAACTAAAATTGACCAAATCTGTGTAAAGCTATAGTTGTTTGAATCTTATATGAATGAATAATATTAAATAAATCTTATAGATTTTTGCTCACAGGCACAATAATTTAAACTTGGTCATAAAAACTGTCCTCAAAAGAAATATTCTACTCTCGTGTCGAGTAATAAGGTAAAAGCAAATGATTATTTGTATGATAATGGTAAATGAAGAATCATAAACTTAAATCTATTTATAATTTTGGCAGCAAACTGTTATTGTTACATGATAATAAAAATGTTTATAATCAACACGTCAACGTTTCGATAAGACATGCTATTACATGTATTTGTAATGGTTTATAATGACACAGTGAAGCTGAATAGAAGTAACGCGTTGTATAATAAATGTTTCAAGGAGGAGTTGTTTCAATGTTAGCATCGTTTGGTGGTAAGATTTTGTAAAAAAAAATAAAGAATTTTGAGAATATCACACCAAAGACTTAACAAAAATGGGTTACTATAAAGACAAGTCAGGTTGGTAGAATCACATTTCGATTTTATTTTTTTAAAAAGAGCTTTTTATTTTATATATTATTTAAAAAGTTGAAAAGTTACCATGCAATTGACCTATTTCTCATTTATTGAGTTTTAGCGCACATCTGGATCAGCATATTCACATATACTTTTTACCGATGCTTATGCTAAATTTTGAGACCAATTTGGGCTTCCAACCCGTGTATTTTAAGGATTATAAACCATTATTTATATTCTGAATTTGGCATCATTCGGAATCCTTTCGACATTTCCGATAGCTAACATGCTTAAGAAGGAAGTGAGACGTCTATGGTTCAAACCATGGACATGATGGAAACCGCATAGATTGTTATTTCTTTTTTAGTGGTATTAACATTTTTTCTCAACATTTTAGCCAAGATATATAAAGATGAAATATGGTTGTCTTAAAAGTAGGAAATAAATGTACATGAAAATAAATGATATTTTAATGCAGGACAAACAAAATTCCTTATGTATCAAATTCAAACTGTTATAGCAAGGTCTATATGATAAAAGTGTTTTATATTTTAAGAACTTGTTTATACATACATGTATCGAGTCTGTTATTTTTCGCGCATGCATTTATTTAAGATGACCAATTGTATTTTTTTTTGTCTTAGATTCTTTGATTCGTTTAAAGGAATATCTGATCAATAATACATTAATTACATTGTTGCCACCAGAACCAGTTTCCTCTGGGGTTTTTTCTATTTTATCCAGAATCGCTGCTAATTGTGTGCCCATGTATTTCATATGTTCCTCTAAGTTTGTTTCAAGAGTTTTCATTTTTGTGTCTAATCGGGCTACAACTCTGGAATTATCGTCCTGTAAATAAATAAATAATTCAAATATTAAGAATAAAATAAAAATTATAATAGAAACTATGATAAAGCAATGACAAAAAAGACAAAAGCTAGAGCTATCACTTAAGCTGATTAATACCCCAGCTAGCAACCTTGACCTTTTGAAAAATACGTGGTTTGAATCAAAATTTTAACTCAACCTTTAATTAATGAGGTATCAACTGTGTACAAATAAATATTTATATCTCATTCTTAACTATTGTTATTGTCCAGAAACCAAGTTATTGTCGGACACACACTTTCTATTTTTAGTAACAATGACCTTGACCTTGAGTTCAGGGTGCCCAAAAGCAATCCAACACGGGTCTTCATACACTATGTTTGATAACAATATCTCATTTCTATCTCTTGAAATTGTCCGAAAATCGTGTTCTATTTTCAGAAACAGTGACCTTGACCATGACCACATGGGTTCTTAAAGCAATTCCAAACCGGATTTTCACTTAACAAATTTGATCAAAATATCTCATTTCTAACTCTGGTTATTGTTCGGAAACCAGTTTCCTATTTTTTGTAACGGAGACCTCGACACCAGGGGGTCAAAATGCAATACCAACATAAGTTGTCAGCTTGCTTTATACCAAGTTTAATTACAACATCTTATTCCTAAATCTAGAAATTGTCCGAAAACCATTTTTCGTTACGGTGACGTTAGTGCCAGAGAGTCCAAAAGCAATACCATCCCAGTTCTTCATATATAAGCTTGCTATATACCAAGTTTGATTACAATATAATTTTCTCAACTCGAATTATACTCCTATGTTCCCCATCAATTCGTTTATCGGGGTATCAAAAAAAGATATAAAAAATTGCTGGGGTATAAAAACAACCACATTCATATATACAAATATATAGTTTGGAATCATTTGTTTTCTAGACAGAGCTTTCATACAATTTATGACATACATGATATCAATAATGTAACAACGATTTTCTGGCCGACTGTTTTTTGTTTGGTTTCTGTTTGGACCTTTTTTAGCGCTATACACAATGGTATTACTTATATGTATGAACTGTCGACTGTTTTCATCCTATGCATTTACATTTTCTATCTCTCTCCCAGCAATAAACAATAATTTTCATTGACCTTAGTCATAAAACATTTTCTGTATTTCTTGTTTTGTACCATTCATAGATTGATGTCATAAATAAAAACGTAAACATGCAAAGTCAACGAATAATGAACTGATTGTGCGTAAAACGTTAATTGCAATTAATTCTTGTTTATCATAAAAGCTATAAATTAGGCCTAATCGGTCAATATATATATTGTGTGTGTGCATGTGTGTGTGCGCGCGTGTGTGATTTATGATATTGTGTTGGTAAATATTTATGTTATGTTCAGTTCTTGTCAGTACACCGTATCTTTTTTTCGTAATATAAAAGGCACAGCATATCAACCATGCATATCCAGAATCGCATGAATGTGAAAATAGCGAAATATTTTCGCCGAATCAGTGCAGAGCTATAGCCGAAAAGAGTAACATGGTCAATAAACGGAACACAATAAGTCAACGTGAATTGAATCAAATTCAATGAATAAGCGCATACGATTGCTATGTCATAATACTTTATTTTTATCACCTTTTTGTAATAGTAATTTCACATAGGCCATTGTGAGTTATTTATACTGTTAATGTTAGTGTACGAAATGACTAAGAAATTTGCACTGTTATATAGGTAACATTAGTTCGCCACAAAGGGACACCACCAGAGTGACTATTACACCCAGAACATCAAGTTGTTTGTCCTTTTCGCGTATTAAACACCTTTTGGTCGAATATTAAAAAGTAAACATTCGTTTTCATCGTAAGTTATTGCAAAGGGATGGCACTGAACAAGCAGACGATAAAAGTATGCGACAAAGGATTATTTAACGAACTTCCTGACCTGCTAATTTTCAGATAAGTGTAAGAAATAAGAGTTTCACCACAATGTTCTGCTAACAAAAGAGCACGTGTCAATGTTTGTGGTTAAATCTATTGTTATTCAAATAAAAGACCAGAGAAGGGATCTATCTATCCGTGAAAAGGACAGATGTAGTAGACAGAAGTAGGGAATTATCGTAAATGCATATTGTCAATATCAATATGAAGAATATTCTGGTTAGGATCAAATTTCACATATTATAAGGCTAACGCCTCAGGTAACAGTGTTTTCCTTTACTGTAACCCATAAACCTATGTGCTATTTATACATTAATCGGCATAATAAACTTCTTGGAACATGTTACCTTTTGATATCATTCGTGTAAATGACGACCTTACTATCCATAGGAACTCTAGAATTGTTTGTTTAAATTATTATGCCACCCGTTATAATACTGTTTTTAAAGCATACTCGATAAAATAAATTTTCCTCATACATAAAACAAACAAATATTCTCTATAAATAGTTATTTAGACACTCAAACTTAATAAGTATCATATGATTTATATTTAAATATGAATATGAAAATATCATTGATGTAATGACCAATCAATATTAAACGCGCATGATATTAACATAACGTATTCAGATATAGGTATTGTCCTTAACCAAATTTTTAGGGATTATTTCAAAATACATACTGACTGAATAACGATAGGTACAGACATTGATCAGACGACACGAATTTTTGTATATACAGGTCGTATGTGTGAAATATGTTATCGCAATATGCCCTAAATGTGTTTGAATTAAATCATTTTTATACATGATTTACATTAAAAAGCAGACATAATAAATTTTACCTTTTCAGAACTCATGGCTGCCTTTATGTCCCGCTCAGTTAATTTCCAAGATTCACCAACCTTTTTTTTAAACCAGGATAACTCGTTTGGTATCAGCTTCTCCATGCTCTCATTGTTATTTTTACACTTGAAGCACAAGCATTCTAAAATGTTTTTCAAAAAAGTGGATTTTGCCATTCTTTCTAACTCTAAAGCAAACTTCACCTGCAATATATTTCAAACAGTGTTTTGCGAATGTGAATAATAATTTACTTTTCATCTCATCTAAGAATAAACTGAAACAGGATTTTCAGGTTATTTAGTTTATAACATGTCGTTTGTGCGAAGCGTCTTTTTGACTTTGAAACCGAAGGTCTATGCTTAAGTCATTGCCGTAGGAAAAGCAACCCAATAATTGTTTCAGGAATCTGACACCACGAGTCTTATATATATATATAAACACATCGCTGACTAACTCGTTTAGGCCTTTGGCATTAATAACTTATATCCTGATTGAACAACACACTAACTAAATAAGCAAAGTTTTAACAATAAAACCCTTGATTTGAACAATAAAATAACATTTCTTAAAATTTAGCAGTCCATTATCACCGTCGTCATGCAATTGATCAATGCAAATTATACCATTCAATTTTTTTTCCAGTTTTATTTTTAGGTAAATGTTTTCTTTAAACGTAATAAAAAGTAAAGTTACTTTGTTTTATTTTGCCTTTTCAATTTAAAGACGAAGAGCTCGATAATAGAACCCAAAGATAATATAACCCAAAGGTTAACCTGTTGTATTTTCTAAGCGGTTCGCGAGATCTCGCGAATTGTCACACTGTTGTTGCGGACAAAATTCGTATTTACTGCTGTATTGCAGAGAAAATGGCAAAGCAGTGTTATATTTCTATTTTAAACGATGTATTTAACGATGAAGTAACGCGGCATGAAAAGTTTGCTTTTTTGTAAGCTTTGAAAACTGATCTGATGTCTTTTATACCTTATTAACAAAATATAAAAAAAGCAGCAATTTTAAATTTGGAAGCCAGAACTGCATTTTAATAGAACAAATACAAAAAAAAAAATCTTCAAAACAGCGAACTTGTTTCTACAGGTGTAGAACATAAGGAAAAGAATTCTCCAGATATGGATAGATGGAAATACATGTATTCTAAATGTTTTGACTATGGAATGAAACGGCTCTTACACTGACGCAAGTCTGTAATATTGTTCTACTAGGGTTTACGCTGGATCTACGATAAAAGTGTAAATAAAAATGTTTTGCATCAAGGTTAGAAAGTAAAAATGGATCAAGAAGCACTAAGCTGATGCATGTAACAGAGATGCGTCTTACAATACTCTTCTGCCTCGAAAAAATAGAGAGAATTAAGAATCCCTAAAGAAAGCCCAACACGGCAAAATTGAAAATGTTGCAGGCTCGGTTTGATTGAGCCTCTTCATGGACGGTACTGTAAAGTGTAAACTACCGAATAATCCTTGTCTCTATATGGGTCACTTTAACATTGACAATCTGGTAAGTCTTTACGTGCCTATTGCTTACACGTTTTACGCATAGTGATCCGCGCTATAAACATGTTAATTAAAGTCTCCATGTATTGTGCTATGCCTATCATAGTCGGCTTAAAGCTCAGTTTCAGATATTGTGAACAATTATTAATGCCTCTAATCAACTAAATATGTGTCCTTTAGAGAGTTTAATGACAAAGTGGCATCTAGATATAAATGAAAACACTGAACGATCTCCAGGGTTAAAGAAATTAACGTCTCTGATTGATTGTACTTGATGTGATGACTTTTAACGGTCTCCGTAAGGCACACAAAAAGAGGCAGGTGTGCAACAAAAAGGTAATACATGTATAAATAGGACAATTATGGAAATAATGCATCATCTTTCTGAAACCTTGTTGTATATGAAATACATTATTTCGTCTGTAGATTTGTCTCAATAGCCTCAACAAAAGTGATATAGATATTGTACATGAGGGAAATCATGACCCGGTCGATGTCAATATTTTTTATTTCTTTGGGGTAATTGCATCATTTTTCAATTATTGTGCCTATTTCCTAATTTGATAGTATTTGTGATTTCACTCTTGATCACGGCAGTGTCCCGCACTTTATTTGCCAGAGCACATTCCAGCCGCCACTGCACAGTACCTAAGCAAAGCTGTCGAACAGTTAAACATCACTAGATGCCTTTTTTATAAAAACACTCGATATTCCTTGTTCAACAGTCCGGAACTATTTGAGCAGGTTTTTTTTTGTAAAAGGACCATCTGTTAATCATTGCTGCACAATATTAACTCAAGGCTACCGAATGGTTGAGGAGATGTCGTTCAAAACTTTAAACAATTTAAGCCAGGTTTTTGCCTTGCCTTGTTGATCATTCTCGTTTGTTTTGTAAAGGATGAGCTATTGATAATTTCTGTTGAGTTTCATCAAAACCTAACAAGCGACTTAAGAGGAGATGTCCCTTAAGTCTTATTCTTTGTCTAGCGGAGACAATCTTGTACAAGAGACCAGAATCAGTTGTGCAATGTTTGTTAAGAACCATTAAGTGATAAGCGCTGTACGGTTTAATAAAAACTTATCGAATGTTTGAGGATACGTCGTTTAGAGGACTTCATATGCTAGCTTCTGTAGCCATCTGGTTAGTGAAGCGGATCATTTGAGCAGTTATAGTGAAGGACCATTGCCATATAATCAATTTCAATCTTAAAAGCCTTCCTTTTATGTGCATAATACAGTGATGAATAACACAACATGGAATAGTAATTACATCATAAAATAAGGAAATACAAGGGCTAAAGCACGAGTAACAAGTTGTAAGCCAAAGGAAGAACCGCCTTACTTGCACCATACCTTATATACAGTAAAATATTCCGTTTTTGAAGGGTTTTCACTGAGTTTCATGACATGTCGCGATAGAAAATATGTTTCCGAGTTTTGTATATCAAATGACGTAGTTTTGAACCGATAACCTTTAACTGTGTGCAACAATTTGCAGATCAATTTCCAACTCTTTTTCCAAGAATATTCATTTTGATTGTGCAAAATACCGAAAATGTAAACAATTAAAAAGATGTTTTCACTTTTTATTTTCTCTCAAGTTATACATACAAACATACTTTTTGGCATTTTTTAGAAAGTTCAGTCCTTTTTTCCTAAGTTGTTTGTTGTTTGGGATGCCGAGCTTCAATTGAAATAATGGAAATATATATTATTGAAAGTTTAAAGACTCCATCATCTATATTTAAAGCGTAAATGATAATATCTTTATAAAAAAGAGAATTTCGGTATAAAGTACATACTTTTATACATGTGTAAATTGTTATAATCGCCCTGAATGAACCTTCAAACTGAAATTTTGAAGCATTTTGGAAGGATTTCGAACATGCTAGACAGCAATGATACCTAACATGTTGTTAAGAAACGGTTCACCTATACCAAGTAAGGACACCTTCAATATTGTTTGTTTAGGATAAAAAAGTGATCAACATAAACTGAGCAGATTCAGTAAAGTATGTAAGTTCAGTTTTCACTGTGTCATGTTGTACTGTGATGCTTTTCTGTTTCTGTTTGTGTGTTTGATGCAGACATAGCATTTTTAGATTAAAGTAACAAGTGATCAATATATCATCAATATAAAGTAAGAAATGCTTACTCTCAAGCATTCTTCATATCCTTCATTCCAAGAGGTAAAGAGTAAGACGCCCTTTGAAATGTACAAGAAGAAGTTTTATCCGTATACTCTCGACCTCTGAATTTCTAGGTTTGCACGTGTGATGTGGAATGCCGGAATAGATAAGTACACCTCTATGGCTTTCTCCAACACGACCGCGTCTCAGAGGATATGTATAGCAAACATTCACGTTATGCTTTGGTACCATTCGTATATTGGTAAATGACGACATCCTGGTTGGTATACAAATGTGTATGGCTCGACCAGTTCTTTTAATTACCATTGATATTGTCGTTAAGACGACGTTACGTTAGTTGGAACGACAGACAGACAACGTTACGTTGGTGGGAAGAAGAGTTTACACGATTATCATTTAAGAAACAACACAATGTAGTTGCATCAATATTCACTTACCACATTTTTTGCCATGATAAAAACATAAATTATGGATATTTTAAGACTAAAGAAAATCAAAAGTGCACACAAGGCGGTGATAAAATGTCAACTTGGCAAGTTAGAAGAAATAGCGGGCAATAATTCACATTTTACAACCGTTCTTGAAATTCTACGCAGCAAACAGATTGCACTGGAGGAGATGAACGATGAGATAATGTCGCAGATGGGTAAGGTAGAGATGGAGACCGAGATGGTCGAAACATAACTATATGCTGTAAGTTCGGCTACGCATTGGAGATTTGGAGGCTCAACACCGCGTTGCCATGGATGTAATCCGTTACACGCAGCTATCCCTTGAGAATACCACACTTGAGGAGCCCCTTAGTAGAGACAACAGTGAGACCGCATGACCCGTGCACAATAACGCCGGTGGAACGTCCGGAAACCGAAATAATATAACATCGGTAATTAACGTAAATGACATTTCAATTCAGTCTACATCACAATTTCATAAACTTCTGAAGCTTACATTACCAAATGTTACTGGAGACATTTTGGAGGGGCAAACATTCTGGGACTGTTACGAGTCAAGTATACATAACAACATGTCACTATCTGAAGTGAAAAACGCTACTGACCGACGATGCTGCTAGTGTGATGGATGGGTTGAATGTGATACGACGAATACGTGAATAGCCTCTTTTTCTAGAAAATGGCATGATAAAAAACCAGAAAAAGGACCTTTACAGAGAAATTGAATTAAACACTTATTAAGTGTGCGTCCCGTGCACTATATACTATATCACGGAGTTAAGAAACATTTGGTCACCAACTCTGACTGTGGTTGTCTTCGATTGTCCCTCCTGAGACAAATTTAGGAGATACAGATATGCCATCTGTACAGGTATTGAGAACGCTTTTCTTCAAATACGGTTAAAGAAGAATGATCGTGACATTACACGATTTCTTTGGCTTAACAACATTCATGATCCAAATTATGACCTTTAAACATACAGATTCAGGTCCGTGCTTTCTTTTCGGTGCCACATGTTCACCATTTATACTTCATGCCGCTACAACCAAATGCAATAATCATAATTGGGTGAGTGCAATATGTAAGAAAGACTTATCTGTTGATAACTTGATCTCTAGTTTTTCTGACGAGAGTTCCTTACTTGACTACTTCAAGAAAACACAGAAATTGATGACATCTGTTGATTTTAACTTGCGGACATGAAGCTCGAAGAACAGTTCAATGCGCAGCCTATATATTTTCATTATGCCGCCGTACTTTTATACGTGAGGGTATTCACGTAGTCATATCACGTAATCAGCGCCAGAATCACCACCTTTACAAAAGATACGAGTTCAAGATATACAACCTTTTACTGTGACTTGAGTTGATTTCCCCGAGTGGAAAAAACAAAGAATGAGAAGGTTTCAATTTATCTTTTACTTGTCTTTAAACCAGAGCTGTTCATCTAGAGGTAATGTCATATATGATTGAATACTCAGTATTCATTTTTACAAACCTTTAGGCGATTCAGTAGCAGAAAATCTCTCCCAAAGGATATAATAAGATTCAGATAACGGAACAACTTTTCAAGCAGGAGCAAATACAATACACCAAGTAATGAATTATACTTCCGTAAAAGATACGTTACACAACCATGGTACAGAGTAAAGATTTATACCCAAGCGCGCGTCCCTGGTTTGGCGGTTGGTGGAAAAGATTAATCGGTCTCACAAAAAAACATGTTCTTGGAAATACATACGCCACTTATAATACTCTCCAATCGTTACGAGGAAGAAAGCGTCATTAATGACCATCCACTGAAATACGTTTCGTCAGAGTCAACCGACCCAGAATTAAATACACAAGCTCATTTGTAATACGGACAGCGTTTAATAACCCTGCCTTACAACGAGGATGTATCTGAACCAAAACCAGTGTCAAGAGATTAGATCACCAAACAAGCGAGGATACTGGCACAGGTCATTAGCCATTTCCGGAATAGATGGCGCCACGAGTATTTGACGTCATTACGTTAGTATCACAAAACTACGGGAAACAATAACCAAAAACAATGAAGGTCGGCGACGTAGTACTTATTCATGATGAGAATCCGAAATCACAGTAAAAATTAGGAACTATTGAACAACTGATCACTGGCAAAGGTGGATTAACACCAGCGGCCATGGTTCGCACGGGAAACGGGTACACTACGCATCGAGACCAATTGTATAGTTGTACCCTCTTGAGACTATGTAACAGTTACCATATTTTGCGCCTGGGACGATGTACTTTAGTGGGAATGACAGGCAGACAACGTTACGTTGGAGACAAGAAAAGTTTATACGACGTATTTCACTGACCACTTTTCAGATATATTAAATTAGCGATTAAATACACGAAAAGAATATTACACAAGATCTATACGTATTTTGTAAAATGTGCTTAAATAATAAGTATCAAAATTATTTACCTGCATTTGCTTTTTAGCAAGATCAGCCTTTTGTTGGAATTCATGTATATTACTTACTGCTAATCCAACCTGTAGAAATAATGGAATGCCTTAACAAAATGTACAATCAGATAAATTTATTTTCTGTTTAAATACAAACTATTTATGCTTTCAAAATAAATAAAATCTTAAGTAACTACCACATCGACGGGCTTTAAAACTAAGATAATGTATTGAAATGTTTGATACTGTATATATAGTTACGATATGCATTGGTATGATATATAGATATATGCATGATTAAAAACTTACAGATTATATTCTAATTATCAACATTTATTAGGAAAACAAGGATTACTAGAATACAACTAAGGCAAAAATTTGCTTATCTCCAAAGAACAAAATGATTGGTTTATCGAAATACATCCTCAATATCTTTGATGGTTGTGATATTGTGTGTGTGTGTGTGTGTGTGTGTGCGTGTGCGTGTGCGTGTGCGTGTGCGTGTGTGTGTGGGGGGGTAATACAAATGTTTATTGAGTTAAGGTATTTGAGGGTATAAGAGAAAATATCGATTAGATAAAGTAATATAAATTTACCAGTAAGTTGATGACTACAATAGCCATAAACAACATGAAGATGACAAAGAACACATTACTAATTATTTCAAAATGAACAGTTTCGTCTAGAAACGTTGAAACAAAGTCCGGACCACCAATCATCATCGAGGTTGTTCTCATCAGTGATTTCCAAATTGTACTAAACGGTTCCTAAAAATCATATAGATAAACATGAAATACACACCAATTTGACATCATGATTTGATGACGTCAGGAATGTACGGTGTTAGGGGCAGTGCGTTTTCAGCACGAATGATGACCGTACGATGAGGACAGTACGACATTACTTTGGTGACATTACGACTGTACTATGGAGAAACACGACAAGAAGATGGTGACAGTCCATTTTGCTGTCGTATTGTCACCAGAGTACTGTCACCATCGTACCGTCGTACTGTCAAAATCGTACTGTCGTACTATCACCATAGTATTTCAATATACCTTGCGAACGAAATTTAGAACATATACCGGCGTTATATAAAAAATATTTACCCTATCAAAGATCAACTATCAAGTAATTCAGAATTTTATGATAAAAATGTACACCTGTGTCTTCATAATTTATATTTCAACAGGCAGGCCTAATCTCGAAATTTTGTATTTAACTTAATATATAGTAATTTCTTAAAAAGACCTGGGTTATTTGTATCAACATCGATTTCAAACAACTCTCATCAATACAAGAATTTACGTGTATGTTAGGCGATTGTTAAAATGAGACTCCGTGACAATGTTTTCTTCCATGTTTTTTTTTTATTTAATTATGAACATGCCTAACAGCAAGGCGACAGCACAACAGTACGATTGGGAAAGAACGATGGGGACAATGTGACAGTACGATGGTGACAGTACGACAGTACGATGGTGGCAGTTCGACAGTACGATGGTAACAGTACGACAACTGCCCCCATTGTACAGTCATGTTCGTTCTCGGATAAAACGCGCTGGCCCTTATGGAATACCGTATGAATTGGAGCGCATGCCGTTACACTGCCAATTTTTTTTATAAATGACAAGATAATGAAACAAATAAAAATGTGATTGGTTTTATATGTAAAATCATATTTTATCTCTCTCGTGAACAGCAGCTCTTATACTTTTGTCTTGTGTTGACGTTACTATAGTGAAATTATTACATCTGCTGTTCTGTTTACTCTGTTCAATATATACATTGAATAGACCTTGTATACAAAAAAATCCTCTGTGAATAAATCATGTTTCAAATGACACTACTTTACAGTTGGTACGTCCATTGATTATGCAGACACTGGTGTTAAAATGTGGTTAATTTCAGAAAAACACACCTATTAAAGTTCTTTTGACTCTATTTCCAAATCTAAAAAACAAAGTTACATGCAAACAAGTTTTGGACACACCAACATAATTATCTTAACGTCAAATGAATAACAAAACATGTTCATTTCTAAAGTTTGTGTTACGTGTTTTCATTTTAACATGAATATCCGTAAAATAATACTTTGAAATGAAAGTTACTGATTCAATACAATTACGATTGTAAAGCAGTAACAGTTGATTAATAAAATTGTCAAAGTAATTTTGGCAATTATGTTTATAGTAAATATTTTGAAACAGTTGTCGTTGATATTACATGTCTTGTAGACGGCTTGTGCTTTATCAACTTGTTTTAATGTCATAACATAAGGAGGAATGTTGATGTTAATTAATATCAAATTCTAAATTGGTTCTTATATAGAGCTCGCGAATCTAGGGGCAAGTTGAATTTGCTAAACGATCGACAGAAAATCTTGATACAGACTTAAATCATAAGATTATTTAACTTTTTATTATGAAATTTAATGTATTTTTCCTTGTAAGTTTCATTTATTTTGCAATTATAGAGAAGCATTAGAATCGATGTTGTGACATGTTTGTAAGATCGATAATTAAATATTTCTATCACATCCCCTTGCCGAGTTGAATAAAATTATATCATGCGATCCTTTCGCAAGCATAATATTTTTTATTCAACGACTTCAATAAATTTAGTAATGAACTTACACGAATTTAATGTACTATTTATCACATACCAAAAGTAAAGACCGTTTGAATTGGTAAAGAAACATTTTTCATTGACGCGCCTATAGTATAACGCTAGTTTTTTCGCGCGACATGTTATGTCATATACAAACTATGTTATATACCGCTAATGGTGTCACGTTAAAAATGGTATTGCACGGCTGTGAATATATTTTGACGTGGCGTCATTAGCTGTATATAACATAGCCTTACGTCGCGCTAAATGTTCGCGTTATCCTATAGACGCGTCAATGAAAAATGTTTCTTTCCCAACAGTTGATGACATATCAGGTCCATGTATCTAAAATGTAACTATGTAAGTTTTTATGTCATGATATATACACGAATAAGGTGAGCTAATTTAACATCAATATTCATTAATGCAAATCAATACGTAGGCAATCATTCAAAATGCAATTTTTGAAACATTTACAGTTATTTTTTATTTTTATATTCAAGATTGTACGTGTTGCTTGCTGTTTAAAATAAACAATTTCTATCTGTCAGTGAATAAAAGAATTTATTCCATAAAATATGTATTTGAAATAATTGTTTAACTTAATTTTACCTGATTTTGAAACAAGCAGTGGAACGAGAGAGCAAATGCAACAATCAGGAGTGAAAACACAAGGAGAAACTTCATAAACACCTTGATGATCCGGTACAACATAACTACATATATACCTAACCATTCGAATTTCTGAATGATAAATAACATATTGATCCAAGCGAGGAAGACGGATACCGTTCCGCAAGTCCATTGCCATTGCTGAAAAAAATACGCTTGGGTAATATGGTCGTTTTATAGCATAAAAAGTTATTATAATGCAACAGTAGCAAAATGTGTTTCCCTATTAAATTTGACATAAATGGATAATAACCTTTAGCAATATTGCCCTTAAAGACTGTTACTGTTATGAGACTCAATGCAACATGAAACCAAAATATTTCCTGATGGTGTGCGCTGTTAATAAAATTGCTCAACGACTGCATTTTTAACAGTGTTATAAAATTGAACACGGGTCAATTTTGTAGTTCTGTTGTGTGTTTGATTAGATAGGATCGTGGTTTTCATCCCATGTTGTGTTTTGTGCCATCAACTGAACGTAAAACTCTTAAATGCATCATTCATATAATCATGTTTGATACCACAGTGTAAAAAAGATTTGGTAATTCGAATATCTATTTTACAAAAGACATAAAAAGTCATACCGGCCGATATCCAGAATCGCTACATCCGCTTGAATTGACAACAAATATAATTGCAGTGATGCAGGTTATCCATTCAATAACATTTTCAACTTCCAAAAAGTAAAACCACACATTCCATGAGAACATTTGTTTCATTTCGAGTATCTGTATAAATAAACCACTTTTAATATAAGATATATATAATATACAAAATACAGAAAAACCAAATCCCTATAAAGAAAGCCAAACGCAGCAAAATTTGAAAATGTTGCAGGCTCGGTTTGATTGAGCCTCTTCATGGCTCTTGAACAATAATAATAGTGCTCCAAACAGAGGAGCGGGGTTTAGATTTGCCTTTGTCTGTCCGTCAGTTCTCACGTTGTGTCACTTGTATCTGTATAGAGTCAAGACAATTAACAGGAAAGTTGATTAGCATGTGAAGCTGCGCATCTGGGATTTTGGCGTGTTGATTCTGTATCTTCTGTATAGTTATTAACATATTGCACTTTTCAACTTGTGTTGTGCGTCGTAAACGTATTTGACCAGGAGGAAAACAATCTTTCAGAAATGATAATCAGCATGTGAAGTTGTGCACCTGGTTGTTTGTATGTAGATTTTTGTATTATTATCTGAAGAGTGATTGTCTTTGGCTAAGTCAAAATTTGCAACTGTCAACTTGTGTCGCGCGTAGCCTCCAAAAGGTTTTGACCAAAAGTCATGAAATTTTACGGAAATGTTGGTCGGCATGAATAGTTTTCCACAGTGGATTGTGGATTCATTCATTATTTACAGGGAAATTGCTTTGACCAGGTTTAAGTAAGCAGTTAGAAATATGTGTTGCAAGTAAACAAAAAAGGTTTTGACCTGAACTATTGAACTGTACAGAACTGTACAGACGAAGTTGCGCACCTGGAAGGTTGTTAGTTGATTTATTCATTATTTATAGAGATGCTTTCATTGACTAGGTGAAAATAATGCAATTTTTGACCCCAAAATGACCCCAAAATTAATTGACCTAAATTAATGAAACTTTACAGAAGTATTTATCAGCACGTGCAATTATGCACCTGGGCGTTTGCTTGTACATTTATTAAGTCTTTGTAGAGTATGCCTGAATGATGGTCAGCATATATAGTTATGCATCTGGGGGGTTTCTTGTAGATGTATTCAGTATTTATAGAGGTTATGCCCTTGACTTAGTAAAAGATTTGCATTTTCTATCTTGTGTCGTGTGTAGCCCAAAACATATTTGACATAGACCGAAAATTAACAAAACAGTGAACAGCTGGGATTCCGCGTCTTATGGACATATTTCTATTTTATCGTTTTTTGCTGTTTCGTATTAAAATGATGTTGATTCTCCTTTGAAAGAAAAACAAGGCTTTCTACGTACTTTTACCTTTTATGTCGTTCATTTAATCGTGAGTTTCATAAAAATAAATAAATATTGTATCGTATACAGTTGAATCGGATAAGAGTAAAAATCTTCTTTAGCATTATAGATAAGTTTTCTTACCTCAATGAGCAATATTATCGAAGCCAATGTGATGATTCCGTACTTCGCAAAAGATGCGAATACAGAAATACTCTCGTTTGTTAAATCTGAACAAACAGAAAATCTGTAAAATAATAATTATGTTGCAAGTGTAAATGAAAGTTATAGATATGACACTCTAACTGGAAGAAAAATATCCAGCTTTGTGTCTAGTTAAGCATTACTGCTGTGCGTACTTTGGTCTTAGATGAGTTTGAATAAATAGATGACATGTATGATTACATTGATCGTATGTTTTATTAATGTAATTCCAATAGCTCATACGCGATTTATAACATAATAAAGAGCATCCTTTTCTTCATTAAAGTTTATAGAAATGATATAATTCAATAAGATATGATATCAATTTGGAGTTAATGTTTTATTTATTTATTTATTTATTTGTCTTTTTTCTATTATTTTATGATTGTTTTAAGTTTTCTTAATCGTTCATTGTTCTCTTTCACAAAGGGTAAACCGATGTAAATATATATCTATAAATGTTCTTATGTTTTCCTGATTGTAGTGATATTCTTTGTCTGAATATTAGAGACATGAATTAACTTGGGAGTATCATCAGTATATCTTTTGATTGTGTACGCCTTTTCCGATATTTTGCAAACGAAGCAAGCAAATAATATGAAAAAACGGCACCAAAGTAAGAGCATTTACACGCGCTTGTGAAAATTGCCATCCTTTCGAGTCCTTCCCCTTGTCTTAAATATATATTTTTTGGGGGTGGTGATTTTTTTCATACATATATCCACATTTAAAAAAGATTTTAAGAAAAAAATTCCACCCAAGTAAAGCCGTAACATAGCCCCCGGGTAAAAAAACCCTTTCTGTGTTTTTTGGCTCACGGGGAAATTTTAGTGTAAAAAGGTAAATTTTTTGAAATCCTTTTTTATTCTTATTTTTACTAAAAAAAGAATAAATTTTTCAAAACATTTTGTTGTAACCTTAAAAGGGTAACTGATTTAACTTGTTTCTGAAAAAGTCCCCAAAAATCCCAAAAGCTTTAATTCGAGACTTACCCTTGCTGAAACTGATATGGGGCAGGTACATCAAGCGTGAAGCCAGTAAGCAATGCAAGAAAAAGTGCATAAAGCATAACAATAAGGATATTTAAAACAAGACCGACACTTATCCATTTCCTCTTGAGGAGAGCTGACACTAATGGGTGATCTAACAATTCTTTCCGTTTGGATGTGACCTATAAAAGTCAAACAAGTCTATGCGTAAATATTTCTTACAATATTTAAAAAATCGCTTAGAATGTCTTCAACTATAAAATCATTAAAAACTTGTTAAACAAGAGTTCTAAAGCCAATAAAAAGTGAAATTGCTTACCATTATCATCAGAGGGTGGTTTTCTTTGATCATGTTTGTATTCTCGGTGTAAGGTTTACCTATAAAAATACCATTTTGAAATGGACATCATTTGAAATTAATTCGTTGTTTTCATGTGCATTAATGTACCAAATAAAGACTTTTAAACATTTCGGAAAGATGTAATCAGAATTATTGTGACATTTTGCCCATCTTAGGGTGTAAAGTGAGTAAACAGGTGGAAGTCAAAATAAGGTATCATTTTGCCATAATTTCTTCCAATTTTATAATACACTTTGCATGAACGGTATACTCACATAATCCAAGGAAATGTCTTTATATATATATATATATATTAAGCGGTGTTTACATGTAACTGTCAATTTATAAAAGGAGTGGGGCAGTCATTTAGTATTTTAGGGAGATTTATATTTCATCCTAAACATTTTCTAATACCATATGTTGGTCAATCACCATTATAAAAGTCAATCTTTTAAAATATTTACTCAATTCTACCCAACTCGACAATGAAAATAATGAACATAATGTCACTCTAAATTAGCTTTACATTTTCGCAAAATAAAGCTCATAACATTAGTATATTTGATCAATTTATGGCTGAAGGTAATAACAAAACGTCATATTTTAGTACCGGCTCCAAAGTTAAAATTTTTGTTATAGATTTGATATAATAGTACACGAATGTACACAAAATATCATAACTGTATTTAATTTTATTTTAATAAATCATATTTATAAAATTACAAGTTCAATAAAAGTTTTAAATGTAAAAGATAATACTAAACTGGTCGGTAATTTAGGCGACCATTATGACAGCCAGCAGTTAGCTTTTGATTCCAGCGGATATTAATGGATTGTTTAACAATTTTATGAACAAAAAACAACAAAATCAAAACAAAACAAAAAATACAGAAATCAAAACCAACCCAACTTGGTGTAACATACAAACAAGGTAGTATTATGTTATTCTATGTTAAACTTTTATTAAGTGAATGAAAGTAATAAGTAATTAAAACATACTGCTCTTGTTTGTTTCCGAATCTTTAGTATGTTTCGGGTCAACTTTCTTGGCAGCTGAGAAATGAAATAAATAAAATGAGGGCGATTATCATTTTGAGAAACGTTAACTTTATACACATCCTATTTATATATATAAAAGAAAATGTATATTCATATTCTATTGAAATTTAACAAAGTTTTACTTTTCAGTTACAACACACTACTCAATATTTTAAAATTTTGACTGTATACGCTCGGAATAATTTTGATGATATGCAGCCTTTTTGCATCTTTCCTGTTCGCTTAGTTTTGTATTTAAACAAATGGAAGAAAGTTTGTTTATTTCTTATATGTCTTTGGTATATCAATCATTACAATAAAAGACTAAAAGACTAATCATTTTTAATCAAGGCGACCATCCTGACCATAAAAATGGAGCTGATACGATGCGCACGCATCCTCAAAGTTTAATAGCGCGAATACTATACCCACCGGCATTTTGAAGAAAATAGCATTTTGATAAAAAACATAAAAAAATTTGAATTCAATTTCGTTTGCAAATATGATGTTTCCACTTTTAGTTTTCAAATTCAAAATGCCTTGACACAACTCAGAATTTTTTCCGTTGGATGTGAATTGGAATTTTGATTTTTGCGTACACCTGACGTTGAAATGTTACAGAAATTGGGAAAATATCGATTCAAATTAATGTTTTAGACGATTGGAAATTAATTCATTGAGTCTATTTCATGTATTTCAAATATACATTTTCAATCTTTGTTCTTTTCAAGTGTACCAAAATGCTTAAAAACGCACAATTTACAGAAAATATACATTGTTATGATGCTGCATATATTCTCAAACATTAACAAGAGCCATGTTAACATGGCCATCCCCCGCCGAATGTGTTTGCTCATTGGAAGAATGTAATTTTATATATAGTAGAGCAGAATAATTCCATTTTAAGAGGTCTTTTGGTAATGAAAATTTATGGCTGAAGTGATTACAGATTTGAAACCTATGTGAATACTGATGGCTGAAAATACCAAAGGGCAATAACTGAAAAATAATGCAGGGTAGGTTATCATTCTTGTGTGCTGAACCCCTCCTCAGTAAAATCTATCCACCTATGAAGTTTCAAGTTGAAACCTCAAATACTTTTTAAGATAAGCTCCGGACAAAATAGTATTAAAAAGAACAAGGGGCAATAACTCAAAATTATAAAGGGAAGAGTTATCATTCTTGGGCACAGCATTCCTCCTCAATAAGATCTATCCACCTATGACATTTCATGTTGACATCTCAAACACTTTTGAATTATGCTCCACTCAGGTGAAAAATTAAGTATGAAAAATAACAAAGGGCAATAACTCAAAAATCATTTCTTTACACTATCCTGATTATAGTTTTTTAATCTTCATTTTAAAATAATAATCGTTATAGTCAAATTAATATTCCATTAGAAATGAATATATTCAGATTTCCTTGTGAATTATTCTCTATTGAATCATCATCTCTAAGACAACATGAAGAGTGACATCAGCAAGATAGCCCTAACAAAGACCCTAATATAGACAGGTGGCTTTTTTCAGAGTATGATTACTTAACATATAAGAAGTGTCATACTTCTGAATGTATATATGAATGTCATTGTAAAAATCATTGTGGAAAATTGTTTAAGGTTTCACATGAATAACAAAATAACAACAACAAATCAAAACAAAGAAAAAAGGCAAACGTAGAAATTTAGATGTGAAAAATGTGGCAAAGCATTCTCTGATAAAGAAGATCTTACCAACCACCAAGATAGACATGAGGACAAAATACAACATAAATGATGCAGGAAATAAAAGTGACATTTAAAGACACCCCTTTCAGAAATTTATAAAGGAAATAACTTTACGGGAAGGAGTTTCCAAGCAAGGCGACTATTGGGTCTTATCTCCTATATGTCAGTAAAAATCTTGTCAAGTTCAGCACAGACGAAATCCTAAGTTAGACCTCTCTGGAATTAAGACCACTCTTCTATTAACATCATATTTTAATATTTCATTGGTTACATGATCTACAATTAACATGATCCGCTAATTCACTATTAAGACCATCAGTTAATGTTAATATTAATTTAATTTGTACTGTATTTGTAAAAAAAAACTATTCAGTTATGCTAAAACTCTAAAACAACACATGAAAAAAACTAAAATGTTGTAGAACATTAGCACGTACTAAAGAAACAACTTAATTAAAAACCTTTCTAGCTTTTGTCACACACCATTTTATTTACTTTTACAATTCAATTTACCATTTAAATAAATGCTTTGCCAGTAGTTGCTTGCTATAAATCTTATTTTTCATCTCCCTTTAATACAGAAGGATACATTCAATATCTCTGTTTAGGTCTTTGTTCATGTTGTGTTTCAAATCAATGTCAAGATTTGAACGAGTTTCCACAATGACATTCTTATTTGCATTTAGACGAATGACGCTGCATCTATGTGTTTTGTAACAATACTCAGAACCATATTTTGACAACGTAGTTCCTTATGTATATGCCTCATGTCGTCTGAGTGAACACTGTACCACCAAATCGGTTCATTTCATTTTCTTATAAACTGTATGATGCATATTAAATTCAATCTTTATATTTCTTTTCTTTCTTGGGTGTACATGTAAAACATTTGCATTCAACGCAATCTACTGACAAGAAGGGGAAGGGTTGTGTCAAGGCATTCGTACTCCGTTAGACTATTCTTTAAAAGACATTGAAAGCAACATACTTCTATGTTTCGTTTCCGAATCTTTAGAATTTTTCGAGTCATCTCTCTTTGTAGCTGAATTAGATATAAATTAAATGGTTGTAATTTTCAGTTCATTTTTAAAGCAGAAACTGTATATTTATATTTCATTTCATTTGAATCAAATAATATTTCATTTTTTAATAAAAACATTCACGATTGTGTTTGTATACGCCTGTAAAAGTGTTGATGAAATGTGCCTGGTCTCTCATCTGTAAGCAGTTTCCTGTACGATTTGTATAATTAAGATACTAAGCAGAAATGTTTACTAAAATCTTAACCAAAGTCTTTTGTAATTTAATCCCATGTTATATAACCAGCATCGTAATAATTAACGTGTCTGTAATTAAGGCAACAAGTCTGAAAGCCAGCAATTAGATATTGATTCCAATGGATATTGATGGGTTGTTAAACTGTTTTCATTCATAGTTCTATTTTTTTTAAACAACAATAACAAAAAAGAAACAACTTAATACAGAAATCAAAGCCGACAAAATTTGGTATAACATATTAATAAGGTAATGTTATGTTATTCTATGTTAAACTTTTATGAAGGAAAATGAAAGTAATAAGTAAGTAAAAACATACTGATCTGGTTTGTCTTCTTATCTTGAGAATCTTTCGGGTCAACTTGATTGTCAGCTGAAAAAAAGATATACATAGATTGGGGGCAATTATCAATTCGAAAAACGTGAAGTTTATTCATATCCTATTTAAATTAAACAGAAAATGCTTATTTATATTCTATTGAAATAAAAAGGTGTTCTACTTTTCAATAACAACACAACACTCAACATTTAAAAATATTGACTGTATACGCTCGGAATAATTTTGATGATATGGGGACGTATGCATCTTTCCTGTTCGCTTAGTTTCGTATAAACAAATGGAAGAAAATTGGAACTACTTAAAAATTGTTTATTTTATGTCTTAGGTGTAACAAACATTGCTATAAAACAAGGACCATCAGCAATCTGTAATTGAATTTTATATTTACCGAGAGGTGGTACGATGCGCGCATCCTCAAAAATCAGATAGTGCGAACACTTTATCATTCTCATTTTTTAGCGCCAATGGCGCAAAATCGCGTCCGCGACAGATCTTTGCATAAGATTTCATTGGCGCTAAAAAAATAGCTTTTTTCCACATTATCTGCTTTCCTAAGCCCTTTCCGACACAGATACGCATCTCACTACCGAAAAATTTAATCAAAAAAAAAATAAAAAAATCGAAAATCTACTTAATATTTAAAATGATTATTGGTAACTAAAAACAAAGAAATTGTTGCTATTTTAAATAATGCGGTAATTGCTTACAGGTGTGGAACTTGATTTCCCATAAGGTCACTCAAGTTCACTGATGCAGTGTAAATAAAAGATGTCCATTTCGTCATCAGAGTATTTGATCATCAAAAATTAAATTTCTATTAGCAACACGTTTTATTAGGATTTTTATAATAATGATAATTATCGCCGTTCAATAATTTAGATCCAATTATTCGTCGGTGCCTTTGTCCATTTGTTGCATTATTTGATTGTGAAACTTTGATGAAAAATAACATGTGTATTTATGAAATCAATGAAATATTGTTTAATTAAATTAAGATGAGACTGCAATGAACGTAGCATTGTTTGGAATAACAGGCATCACTGGTCTGAAGTGGTGCTACCAGTATACCGATGATTTTTTATTTGTTTCTTTATTTTTTTTTTTATTATTTTTTTTTTTGATATTGTTACGCATTTTGAACAAAAAAAAATCTTCCCCACGCATCCTGTTAAAATTAATTTGTCTGGTCAATACTTTATAATATCTTTATATTTCGATACGATTCTACAAGATTTGTGATGTGGGTTATGATATCACGCGCACCTGTTTTTATACGGCCAATACACAAACATGACCGCGCCTACTGATTTCTGGAAATCGTTGATTTAGCGATTTAAATTTGTTATCATTCGTTGAATATTATTATTTGAAGACAGAAAATTTGCAGATTTACTATTTATAGTATTATATTGCTGAAATCAAGTTTTTATTCTAACATCGCTTTTCCCTTTAAACAATTCTACAATTAAATAACTTCCAGCCGTCTGAAAGTGTTAATAAAAACGATATTTTCTCAATTTCAGTTACATGTCGACGCCAGGGGTACATGTACGAAGTATCCAGAACCCGAATCAAATTCAACGTAAAATACTGACAAAAAAGGGAAGAGTTTTGATAAGGATTTCAGGATTTTGTTTGTAAGCGCCTAAAAAGTGTTGATGGTATGCGCCTGGTTTCAAATCTGCAAGCAGTTTCCTGTCTCATTAGTATAATTAAGATACTAAGCAGAAATGTTTACTAAAAATGTTTACCAAAGTCTTTTGGTAATTTAATTCCATCTCATATAACCAGTAGCGTTATAATTATATAGTCTGTAATTAAGAGTCGGTAATTTTGATAGCTAGCTGTTAGCTATTGATTCCAATGGATATTGATAGGTTGTTAAACTGTTTTCATCCAAAGGAAAAAAAAGAAAGAAACCTAATACAGCAATCAAAGCCTAAAAGAGCCGGTGAAATATATTAATAATGTAATGTTATGTTATTCTTTATAAAACCTTTATGCAGGGAAGTGAAAGTAATAAGTAAGTAAAAACATACTGCTCTGAATTGTTTCCTTATTCTGAGAATCTTTCGGGTCAACTTGATTGACAGCTGAAAAAAGATATAAAAAAAATGGGCACAATATTCAGTTCGAGAAACGTTAAGTTTATTCATATCCTATTTAAATAAAACGAAAATGCATATTTATATTCTATTGAAATAATATTGTGCTCTACTTTTCAATAACAACCCCACTCAACATTTTAGAATACCGACAATATCCACTCGAAAAAATATGATGATATGGAGCCGTATGCATCTTTCCTGTACTGTACGCTTAGTTTCGTATAAACAAATGGGAGAAAATTCGAACAACTTAAAAATTGTTAATTATTTGTCTTTGTTGTATCAAACATTGCTATAAAAGACTGATTTTTTTATCAAGAGCCATCAGCAAGATGTAAATGTATTTTATATAAACAAGATGATACGGTGGATGCATCCCCAAATATCAGATAGCGCGAACACTTTATCAACCGACAATTGGAAGAAAATCGAATCATGATAAAAACAGAGAAGATTTGAATTTAATTTCGTTTGCAAGGGAGGGTTTTTCACTTTTAGTTTTAAAAATTTAAAATGCCTTGACACAACTCTTCCCGTTTTGTCAGCATTTCACGTTGAATGATTTTGAGTTTTGGTTTCTTTGTTCACCTTGCGTTGAAATGTCACTAAAATTGTGGAAATATCTATAAAAATTAATGTTTCAGACGATTGGAAGTTAATTCACTGTAGTATCTATTTCAAATATTTCAAAAATACATTTTCAACCTTTGTTTTTTTGTTTTTTTTTTCATTTGAACAAAGATGTCTAAAAACGCACTATAAACAGATAAAATGCATTATGATATTGTGTATATTCTCAACAATAAACCAAATGCATATATGAATGTCATTAAGAAAAATTGTTTTGGAAAATCGTTCAAGACTGCTTCACAAGATTTAAAAAAAAGAACAACAAAAAACACACACACAATTAAAACCAAACATAGAAATTTAGATGTGATAAATGTGATAAATGATACAGGGAATAAAATTCTGGAAACAAAGTGATCCCTCGGAAGCATTAGAAAAATGACATTTAGAGACACTCCTCCCAGAAATTCATAAAGGAAACGACTTAACGAGAAGGAGTTTCCTAGCAAGGCGTCTATTGCGTCTTATCTCCTATATTACAGTAAAAATTATGTCAAGTGCAGCACAGAAAAAACTATAATTTAGACCACTCTGGAATTAAGACCACTCTTCTATTAACATTATTCTAATATGTTATTGTTACATGATCCACAATTAAGACGTTCCGCTAATTCACTATTAAGACCACAGGTTTCTGTCCATATTCATTCTTTTAAATATATTTGTAAAAAATAATCAGTTATGCTAAAACTCTAATACAACACATGAAAAATCAGTGAAACTAAAATTTTGTAGAACATTAAAACGTACTAAAAACAAATTCATTTAAAACCTTTCTATCTTCAGTAACAAACAATTTTTATTTACTTTTACAATTCAATTGACCATTTAAATCAATGCATTTGCAAGAAGATCAAGAACGACAATATAATGATGATGAAATATTATCGTGTTATTTGATTGATGTCAATCTTGTTTCCTAGTACAGTGTAAATAAATAAATTGTATGAAACATATTAAATTCGATCGTTATCTCTTTTTCTAGGATGTACATTTTTAGCATTTCTTTTCTAATGGGAAAAACAAGATTTGATTTTTTGGGTCCGCGCGTGTTACCACCATAAAGCACAAACTCCTTCGGAGAAAGTATACGCAGTTAAATAAAACAATTTTATCCGCATTATCAAAACTTGCTATTGAGTGTGTATGTAGAATCACAATTTATATTTACAGTCAAAATACCGAAAAAAGAATTTTTACATAAAATGAGAAAGAACGAAGGTTGAGAAATACATTTTTTTTAAAAATTGTACAATAAAATAATTTCCAGCCGTCTGAAAGTGTTAATAAAATATAAATTTTCACAATTTCAGTTACATGTCGACGTAGAATGTATGTTTACGTAATATCCAGAACCCGAATCGCATTCAACGCAAAATGCTGACAAGAAAGGGAAGAGTTTCGCCAAGGCATTTATAATATTCAAACTAGAAGTATGGACATTTTCTTAACTAAGTCATTCTTGTTTTTTATGTCTATTCTTTAATATACCGGTTGACAAAGTATTTCAAACTACTTGCCCCTCACCGCTGTGGGTTCGAATCCCGGTAGGGACTTTGGATTATTTCATGTGAGGAAGCTACCCAGCTAGCTTACGGAACGATCGGGCCTGAAATAATGCACGGAAGGGCACCTGAGGACTTCCTCCACCAGTAAAGCTGAAACATCACCATATGGACTATACTGTGCCGGTGTGACGTAAAACCCTATCAAACAAAAAAGTCAAAGTATTCTTGCTATCAGAACATTGAGGATGCGAGAAATTAAAACCGATAAACTTCGGCGTAACACGATGATTTTGGCTCCATTAGACTATTGTTAACTAAACACCTTAAGATACATACTGCTATGTTCCGTTTCCAAATCTTCGGAATGATTCGAGTCTACTTTCTTTGTAGCTGAATTAGATATAAATTGAATGGTTGTAAGTTTCATTTCATTTTAAAAACAGAAACTGTATATTATTATTTCATTTCATTTGAATTAAATGATATTTCACTTTTTAAAAACAACATTCACAATTTTGATTGTATATGCCTGAACAAGCGTTGATAATATGCGCCTGCTCTCTCATCTGTAAGCAGTTTCCTGTCCCATGAGTATAATTAAGCACTAATTACTAAGCAAAATGTTGACTTAAATCGTTCACTAAAACAAAAGTCGGTATAACATAATAATAAGGTAATATTATCTTATTCTATGTTAAACTGTTATGAAGGGAAGTAAAAGTTATCAGTTAGTAAAAACAAACTTCTCTGGTTTGATTTCGTATCTTGAGATTGTTCCGGGTCAACTTGATTGGCAGCTGAAAAAAGATGAAAGGTAATTATCAGTTCGAGAAACGTAAATTCATATCCTATTTAAATTAAACAGAAAATGCATATTCATATTCTATTAAAAAATAATTATTTTCTACTTTTCAATAACAACACACCACTCTACATCTTAAAATACGCTTGGAATAATGTTGATGATATGGGGTCTTACGCATCTTCCCAGTTCGCTTAGTTTCGTTTAAAGAAATGGAAGAAAATTGGAACTATTGAAAATTATGTGTTTTAGGTATAGCAAGCATTACTATAAAAGACTGATTTTTTATCAAGGGCTATCAGCAAACTGTAAATGTATTTTATATTAACCAGGAGGTGATACAATGCGCGCATCCTCAAAGATCAGTAACGCGACGACTTTATTAAAAGATTTGAATTTAATACTTTCGCAAAGAAATTATTTTTCACTTTGAGCTTTAGAATTCAAAATGCATTGACACAACACTTCCCGTGTTGTCAGCATTTCACGTTGATAGTGATTTGGAGTTTTGAATTCTGTGGCGTTAAATGTAAGGAAATTGTGAAAATATCTATAAAGATAATTTTTAGACAATTAGAAATAAATTCTTTGTAGTATCTATTTCAAATATTTCAAAAATACATTTTCAAACTTTGCTCTTTCTTTCATTTGTACAAATATTCCTTAAAACGCACTATTAACATCTGATCCCCTTTCAAAATTCCATATTTAGTTCCGCCCATTGTTTTTTCGTTTAGGGCACACGCATATTTTTACTTGGGGGCCATATGCCGCTTCTCATGGAATGGCACGTACGTGTCACATTGAAGGTTCCATTATAACCGTCATATGAACACATCTGCGGATGTTTCAAAATTCAAAATTGTACTTGTTCATGTTAAATGTTGAATATTGCTAAGCCGGTGCTAGGGGGCGCAGACGGTTATTTGCACCAGACAGTACCGTCCATGAACAGGCTCAATCAAACCGAGTCTGCAACATTTTCAACTTGTTGGGCTTTCATTAGGGATTCTTGTTTTCTCTATATTAACAGAAGATATACATTATGATAGTGCGAAGACACTACAAAAAATCAAAACGCTATGTGTACATTTTGTGCTAGTGCTACTGCGTAAAATTTCGTAAAAGCGGTCTATAATTCAAAGTGGAATTAAGAAGATAGCACGAGTCAAAAAGAAAAATATAATAAGATTCAAATCTTGTGATAAAATTTGCTCATTTTAAAATGTTACAACCGTGCTGTTAAAATCTTAACAGCCAACAAAAGACCGGATAAAATATTTTTCATATTTTTTTTACTCATTTTGTACACTCCTGTTCATAGGTTTTTCTAATCTTCGTTTTAAAATAATTGCCTATGTAGTCAAATTAATATCCCATTAGAAATGAATGTATTCCGATTCCTTGTGAATTCTTTTCCATTGAAGACAACACACTTGGCGACATCGGCGACCTTAAAAATATTATTTATATAGACAAGTGACTCTTTTTTGCCAGAGTATAATTACTTTACATATACGAAGCGTCATACATGAATGCATTTATGAATGCCATTATAGAAAATCGTTCAAGGCTTCACATGATTTGAAAACAAAACACATAATAAAATCCAAACATAGAAATTTAGATATGACAAGTATGGCTTAGCTTTCTCTGACAAAGCGGATCTTACCGAACACCAAGAAAGACATGAGGACAAAAAAAAAACATAAATGTGGTAAATAGGTTAAATAATGCAGGGAATGAAAGTGACATTTGAAAACACTCCTCTCAGAAATTTATAAAGGAAACGACTTTACGAAAAGGAGTTTCCAAGCAAGGCATCGTTTGCGTATTATCTCCTACATATCAGTCAAATTCTTGCAACATAGAAAAAATCCACTCTGGATTTAAGACCACTCTTCTGTTTATATCATTTCAATGTGTCATTGGGTATATGATCCACAGTTAAGATGATCTACTTATTCACTATTAGGACAATCAGTTTATGTCTATATTCACTCTTTTTATTGTAAAAATACACTATTCAGTTATGCTAAAGCTCTAATACAGCACAGGAAAAATAAATTTAAAAGATAAAACTAAAATTTTGTAAAACAAAGAAACAAGTTAATTCAAAACTTTTCTAACTTTAGTTACAAACAATTGTATTCACTTTTACAATTCAATTTACCATTTAAACAAGGCAGTCTGAAGGACAGCTAAATCCCCGTCCGCAGTGAGCATGAATGTGTACAATTTGACCTTATACCTCCATGACCTTGATGTTGTGCCATGCATATCATAAGCACATATTAGTAGTTTCACGATGTTGATTATTTGTGCCAAGTTATTAAAAATCTTCCATAAAGTAGAACATATAACATTGACCTTGGGGGTAGCAACCTGAATGTTGAGCTCTGTAGGTTGTGTCATGGTGGGGATCATTTGTGTCAAGTAATTATAAAACCTTTGAATTGTCAATAATTTATAGAACGAACATGAAAAATAGATGTTTTTTCATTGGACCTTTGAGTTTGACCCTGATCGACAGGGTTGTGACTTGATTATTGTGCTTTGCAGTGGTTTCATTATGGTGATCATTTCTGCCAAGTTATCTTATAAGCATTGCAGCAGTTTATATGTGATGGACAGAAACGAAATGAAGACTTTCTAACATGTGACCTGTAAGTTTGACCTTGACCTTGGGTGTGGTAATTCAATTATTGCGCTTTGCACATCGCCTCATAATTCTGATCTCTTATGCCAAGTAATCTTAAAAAGTTCTCAGCAGTTTAAAAGTTATGGAGCGGACACGAAATGTAGACTTTTAAACATTTGACCTTTAAGAGTTACCTTGACCTTAGGGGTAGCAACGCGATTATTGCGCTCTGCACATCGTCTCATAATGGTGAAAACTTTTTTCAACTTAATCAAAAATTTCAGTGGTGTAAAAAAATATTAAGCACATATGAACTGTACACCTTTTAACACTTGACCTTAAAGTGTGACATTGACCTTGGGATAGCAACCCAATTATTGCGCTCTGCATATTGTCTTATAACGGTGATCACTTGTACCAAGCTATTCAAAAATTTCAGAGGTTTAAAAGTTATGGAGGGGACATAAAACGTAGACTTTTATTCATTTGACCTTTAAGTGTGACCTTGACCTTCAGGTAGCAACCCATTCATTGCGCTATGCACATTTCTTTTAATGGTGATCAATTGTGCCAAGTTATTTAAAAAATTTCAGCGCCCCAATAGCTGACACCACGAAATGTAGACTTTTTATTATGAAATGAAGACATTCTAGCATTTGACCTTCAAATATGACCTGGACCTCGGGTGTAGCAATTCAATTATTGCGCTCTACACATCGTCTCATAATTGTAATATCTTATGCCAAGTTATTTTTAGAAACTTTTCAGCAGTTTAAAAGTTATGGAGGGGACATAAAACGTAGACTTTTATTCATTTGACCTTTATGTGTGACCTTGACCTTCAGGTAGCAACCCATTTATTGCGCTATGCACATTTCTTTTTAATGGTGATCAATTGTGCCAAGTTTTTCCAAAAATTTCAGCGTTCCAATAGCTGACACCACGAAATGTAGACTTTTTATTGTGAAATTAAGACTTTTAACATTTGACCTTTAAGTGTGACATTTACCTTAGGGGAGCAACGCAATTATTGCGCTCTGCACATCGTCTCATTCATGTGATAACTTGTGCAAAGTTATTTTAAAAAAATCAGCGGTTAAAGTTATGGAGCAGACACGAAAATGTTTCGGACGAACGAAAGGACAGACGAACGGATTGAACGGACTGACAGACGGAGGCTATTCCTAAAATCCCTTTCCACTACGCTGAAACGGATTGATACTTGCAGCTGCCAGTAGATAAGGAACAACAATATAATTATGACGAAACGTTATCGTGTCTTTTGCTTGTTATAAATCTTATTTTTTTATCTGACTTAAATATCTGAATGATACTTTGAATGATCTGTTCAGCTCCTTATTTCTTCATTTTGTGTTTAAAATCATTTAAAGTTTTGAACCATTTTCCTCAATGACATTCATACTTGCATTTAGACGAGTGACGCTTCATTGGTGTGTTTTGTAACAATACTCAGAAAAAAACCTTTTGACTACATTGTTCCTTAATTGTCTTGATGTCCATGTCGTTCTTTATGTTGTCTGGGTGAAGAATTTACCACATTTGTTTGCTAATAAATTGTATGAAACGTAATAAATTCGATATTTATCTTTCTTTCTAGGATGTACATTTTTTAACATTTCTTAATCAAGGGGATAACAAAATTTGATATCCTTGGCCCGCGCCTGCTTCCACAATAAAGCACAGACTCGCAGTTAAATAAAACAATATCATCCGCATTATCTAGATTTGTTTTTGAGTGTGTACGTAGAATCACATTTTATATTTTTACAGTAAAAATACCGATTAAAGAAATTTTCCATAAAAATGAGAAAGAACGAAGGTTGAGAAATACATTTTTAAAATAAATTGTACAATTAAATAACTTCCAGCCGTCTGAAAGTGTTAATAAAATATATATTTTCTCAAATTCAGTTACACGTCGACGCCGGGTGTACATTTACGTAATATCAAGAACCCGAATTGCATTCAACGCCAAATACTGAAACGAAAGGGAAGAGTTTCGCCAAGGCATTTGTTATAATTATTCAAACTAGAAGTAAGGACATCTTCTTTACAAAAGAAATTAAATTAAAATCATTCTATTCATCAATATACCGGTTGACAAAGTATTTCAAGACACTTGCTCCTCACCGCTGTGGGTTCGAATCACGGCAGGGACTTTGGATTCTTTCATGTGAGTAAGCTATCTATGAACTTAAGCGTAACATCACGACTTTGAACCCGTTACAATACTGTTAACTAGTTATTGTAAGACACATACTGATCTGTTTCGTTTCCGAATCTTTGGAATGTTTCGAGTCATCTTTCTTTGTAGCTGAATAAGATATAAATTATATTAATTAAATAGTTGTAATTTCATTTCATTTTCAAAACGGATTCTGTATATCCATATTTCATTTCATTTGAATTAAATTAAATTTCTTTGTTTGAAAAAAAAAACATTCACGATTTTTATTTGTATACGACCGAAACAGTGTAGAAATATATGCGCCAGGTCTCTCATATGTAAGCAGTTTCAAGTCCGATAAGTAAAATTAATATACTATGCAAAATGTTTACTTTGATTGTTTACCAAAGTCTTTTGTAATTTAATTCCATGTTATGTAACCAGCATCGTTATAAATAACTGGTCTGAATTTAAGGCGACAATTCTGATAGCCATCAATTAGTTATTGATTCCAATGGATATTGATTGGTTGTTAAACAGTTTTCATTAATAAGTTTATTTAAAAACAAAAGCCAAAACAAAACAAAACCTAAATACATAAATCAAAGCCGACGAAATTCCGTATAACATATTAATAAGGTAATGTTATGTTATTCTATGTTAAACTTTTATGAAGTGAAAGAATAATAAGTAAGTAAAACATACTGCTCTGGTTTGATTCCTTATCTTGAGAATGTTTCTGGTCAACTTGATTGGCAGCTGAAAATATATATATCAATAAATTTGGGGCTATTACCAGTTCGAGAAACATGACGGTTATTTATATCCTATTTTAAATAAAACAATAAATGTACATTAATATTCTATGGAAATAAAATTGTGTTTTACTTTTCAATAACACCCTCACTCAACATTTAAGAATACTGACTGTATACGCTCGGAATAATTTTGATGATATGGGGCCGTACGCATCTTTCCTGTTCGCTTAGTTTCGTATAAACAAATGGAAAAAATTGGAACTACTTAACAATTGTTAATTATATGTCTTGTGCACAACAAACATTGCATTAAAAGACTTAGTCTAATTTTTAATCAAGGCGAACATCCTGACGGTCTTCAGCAAGCTGAAAATGCCTATGGATATAAACAAGGAGGTGACATTTGGAAAAAAATAGAATCATGATAAAAACCTAGAAACAGATTTGAATTTAATTTCGTTTGCAAAGAAGATGTCTTTACTTTTTATGCCCCCACAATGTGGGAGCATATATTGTTGCACTTGTCCGTCCGTCCGTCCATCCGACCGTCCGTCCGTCCGTACGTCTGTCCGTACGTCCCGAAATCTTGTGAACGCAACTCCTCTTAAACCGGATGGCAGATTTTGCTTAAACTTCCAGGGATGAACAACCTTAATGTGTAGATGGTAGTAAAGGAAGGAATTTTTGCTGCGACCAAATTTAACAGAATTATGGACCTTTGTTGATTTTTTCATAATATACTATGTAGAAATTTTGTGAACGCAACTCGTCTTAAACCGGATGGCAGATTTTGCTTAAACTTCAAGGGATGAACAACCTTAATGTGTAGATGGTAGTAAAGGAAGGAACTTTCGCTGCAACCAAATTTAACAGAATTATGGCCCTTTGTTGATTTTTCACTATATACTATGTAGAAATTTTGTGAACGCAACTCCTCTTAAACCGGATGGCAGATTTTGATTAAACTTCCAGGGATGAACAACCTTAAAGTGTAGATGGTGGTAAAGGAAGGATTGTTTGCTGCGACCAAATTTAACAGAATTATGGCCCTTTGTTGATTTTTTCACTATATACCATATAGAAATTTTGTGAACGCAACTCCTCTTAAACCAGATGGCAGATTTTGCTTAAACTTCCAAAGATGAACAATCTTTATGTGTAGATGGTAGTAAAGGAAGGAATTTTTGCTGCGACCAAATTTAACAGAATTATGGTCCTTTGTTGATTTTTTCACTATATACCATATAGAAATTTTGTGAACGCAACTCCTCTTAAACTTGTTGGTAGATTTTGCTTAAATTTCCTGGGATGAACAACCTTAATGTGTAGATGGTAGTTAAGGAAGGAATTTTTGCTGCGACCAAATTTACCAGAATTATGGCCCTTTGTTGATTTTTTCACTATATACCATATATATGTTGTCAGTGTGGGCATCCGTGTCCTTTGGACACAGTTCTAGTTAATTTTAAAATGCAAGACGACTTGACACAGCTCTTCTCTTTTATATCAGTTTTTCGCATTGAATGAGATTTGGAATATAAGTTTCTGCGTACACCTGGCGTTACAATGTTACAGAAATTGTGAAGATTTCAATATAAACTAATGTCTCAGACAATTTGCAGAAAATTCGTTGTAGTATGTAATTCATACATTTCAAAAACACATTTTCAACCTTTCTTTGCCCCTTTTCATGTGTACAAAAATGCCTTAAAACGTACAATTTACAGAAAATATATATTATGATGCTGCGTATATTCTCAAACATAAATAAAGACACTGCGTGCACAATTTTTCAGCTATTGCTACTGCGTACAGTTTCGTAAAAGCAGTTTGTAATTCAAAGTAGAATGAAATGGGTAACACGGGAAACAAAAAAGAAAAAAATAATAAAATTCAAATCTTGTGATAAAAGTTTGCTCCTTTAAAAGTTTTTACAATCGCACTGTATAAATCTTAACACAAAAAACCGGAGTTTAATATATTTCACATATTTTTGTACTCATTTATTTAACACTCTTCTCTTTTTGAATTTTTAAATTTGTGTAATCTGCATTTTAAATAAATTACCTTTTGAAGTCAACTTAATATCTCATTACAAATGAATGTATTCCGATTTCCTTGTGAATTCTTCTCTATTGCATCATCATCTCTTAGACAGCATGAAAGGCGACATCATCAAGAGAGCCCTTACAAATATTACCTATACAGACAAGTGTCTTTATCAGAGAGAATAATTTCTTAACATATACTGAGTGTCATACTTCTGAATGCATATATGAATGTCATTGTGGAAAATCGTTCAAGGGTTTCACATGATTAGGACAAAAAAACACAACAAAACACACAAAATGTCCAAACATATAAATTCAGATGTGACAAATGTGGCATTTTCTCTGATAAAGAAGATCTTAGCGATTTCCGAGATAGACATGAGGACAAAAAACAACATAAATGTGGTAAATGATGCAGGCAAAAAAGGGACATTTAGACGCACTCCTCTTAGAAATTCAAAAAGAAAATGACTTTACGAGAAGGAGTTCCAAAGCAAGGCGTCTATTGGGTCTTATCTCCTATATGTCAGTAAAATCTTGTTAAGTGCAGCACAGAAGAAATCCTTATTAAGACAAGTCTGGAATTAAGACCACTCTTATTTAAATCATTTTTAATATGTCATTGGTTACATGATCGACAATTAAGATGATCCGCTAATTTACTATTACGACCATCAGTTTCTGTAAATATATTTATTTCTTTTTACTGTATTTGTAAAAAAAAACTATTTAGTTATGCTTAAATTCTAATTCAACACATGAAAACAAGAAGCGCCGCAATGTGACGAAAACCAGGGATTCAACGACCAAGTTTTGATGTGACAGCAATCAATAGGTCAAAGTGCACTGAAGTTATTGAGTAGAAGCTGAAAATTCTATTGTAAGCAAATAACCTTGACCTTGCTCCCAGATATCAAAGTGGCAACCCAAAGCTGCCACACAGCAAGTTTGGTGTCAAAAGGTCAAAGCAAACTCAAGCTATAACATGAAAACTAAATACATTAACTACTCGATAGCAATCCCAAGCTGCCTCTTGATATAAGCTAACCATTCATCAAGTTTGGTGTCAATAAGCCAAAGCAAACGCAACTTATTGAGCAGAAACTGAATTCCTTTTTTTAAATAACAGTGACCTTGACCTTGATCACAGACACCTGGGTAGCAATCTCAAGCTGCCTCTTGATATAAGGTATCCATACACCAAGTTTGGTGTCAATAGGCCAAAGCAAACTCAAGTTATTGAGCGGAAACTGAATTTCTATTTTAAGTAACAGTGACCTTGACCTTGGTCGCAGACACCTGGATAGCAACCCCAAGCTGCCTCTTGATATAATCTATCCATACACCAAGTTTGATGTCAATAAGTCAAAGCAAACTCAAGTAATTGGGCGGAAACTGAATTTCTATTTTTAGTAACAGTGACCTTGACCGTGATCACAGACACCTGGGTAGCAATCCCAAGCTACCTTTTGATATAAGCTACCAACACACCAAGTTTGGTGTCAATAGGCCAAAGCAAACTAAAGTTATTGAGCGGAAACAAAACGTCGACGCCCGCCTGCCGAGTTCGGCATTACAATAACCCGGTTTTCGTTGAAAACTTTGTTGAAAATAATTTAAATTTTGTAGAATATTAACACATACTAATGAAAAATTTAATTAAAAACCTTTCTAGCTTTAGTAAAAACCATTTAATTACTTTTACAAATCAATTTATCATTTAAATAAATGCATTTGCCAGTAGTTCATGAACGACAATATAATTATGATGAGATGTTATCTTGTTATTTGCTTGTTATGAATCTAATTTTTTTTCTCTCACTTTAATACCTGAATGATACATTGAATGTCTCTGTTCAGCTCCTTATTTCTTCATGTTCGGTTCAAATCATGAAAAGTTTTGAACCATTTTCCTCAATGACATTCATTCTTCCATTTAGACAAATGACGATTCATTTATGTTTTGTAACAATACTCAGAAAAAGCCTTTTGACTTAATAGTTCCTTATGTGTCATGATGTCCATGTCGTTCCTCATGTTGTCTGGGTGAAGAATTAACCACTAAATCGGCGTACATGAATTTCCTAATAAATTGCATGAAATATATTAAATTCGATCTTTATATTTCTTTTCTTTCTAGGATGTACGTCCTTAACAAATGCATTCAACGCAAACTACTAACAAGAAGGGGAAAAGTTGTATCAAGGCATCAGTGATATTGAAACTAGAAGTAAAGACATCTTCTTTACAAAAGAAATCAAATTTATATACATTCTTGATTTTTTTACAAGACTATTTTTGTCAATATACCGGTTGATATAGATAACATGCTTTCAGAATATTGAGGATGCGAGAAATTAAACCCAATAAACTTCGGCGTAATATAATTTCTGGCTAGTGTTAAGTTTGACTCCGTTAGACAATATTTTTAAGTAGACATTTTAAGGAACATACTGCTCTGTTTCGTTTCCGAATCTTTGGAATACTTCGAGTCATCTTTCTTTGTAGCTGAATTAGATATAAATTATATAAATTAAAAAGTTGTAATTTTCATTTCATTTTCAACACAGAAACTGTATATTTTTATTTCATTTTATTTGAATAAAATGATATTTCACATTTTTTACAACACAGTAATTACAATCACTTCATAATTGTATGCTAGCAATTTTGTTTGTATACAACTGAAAGAGTTTTGATAATATGCGCCTGATCTCTCACCTGTAAGCAATTTCCTGTCCGATTAGTATATTTAAGATATTAAGCAAAATGTTAACCACGGTCTTTGTTGATTTAATTCCATGTTATATAACCAGCAATGTTTGTACCTTCCACATATGAAAGATATCTTAAAATAAATGAAGTAATTAGGAAACAATTATTATAAATCCCACTTGCTGGAATAGGTTAACCCTAAAAGGCCCTATATTCATAGTGATAAAAAGGGAAATAAATGCTAAATATGGATTTCATAGCTATATAACTTGTCAACAATGTGTACTTCGTATTGATTAGTAAGTATGGAAAGTATTAAGTCATAAGTAGACATATCATACTTGCCGGTTAAAGTAAGCCTCATCCATATTTGATATGTTGAAAGGGGCAATTGATTGGAAGAAATGGAAGCTTTAGTTTTACTTGCCCATATTATGTACTTTGTACTGATAAGCAAGTGTTTAATGGTACATGTAGAATTAAAGAAAACTCCAATTTGCCGCTTAAAATTAACCATGTGCGGACAGACGGTCGGACGGATGGTTCAATTACTAAGTATATACCTGGGGGCATGAAATAATCAGTGTTAAAGATGTTTTAATTTATTAATATTTCTAACTTCACATTGGGAATTTTTATAGAGATTTTGCTAAATGATCTCGTCTAATTGATTATGTTGTATGCTATTAAAACTTAATTAACTTAAGGACAGTAGTAATTCTTCAAACACATGTTTTCGATGTTTAACTGCTGGATGTATTCTGTGTCTAAATTACTTTGAAATGAATCGATTCCACTCATTCTTTGTAAATGTCTCTTTCTACCATCAATAGATATTTTAATCAAATGTCCTATTTCATTGTATTAATGACAATTTCTAAGTGATCATTTTCAATCCTTTATATATAAAACTTTGCATAATACTATCCATTTTAATTTCGTCTGATTTTGAGTGTAATGTAAATTCAAAGTTTGTGCGATTGTCTTTATACATATGTTTTGTCTGGATGACTCGGAAAGACAAATTTTAATAAGATCGTATCTTATTTTAAATTATAAATGGAAGTTTAAACGGAAAATGTTGTCAGATGTATTGCTCATCATCAACTGATGTCTGCTGTAAATTGATTTAATTTATTCGCATAATTCAGTCTAACTAGTAAAACATATTTTAACACAACGGTATGCCTAGTTGTTGTAAATATTCTGATATCCAAGCTATATTTAAATATTTTCTCTACAATAAATTAGATCATGTTGATCTCTAACTTAGCCTATTATGAGAACTGTACATGAATTATGGTAAAGTTTTAAACGCTGGACTTATTAAACACTGGACGCAGAAAAAGAAGTAAAACTTTGAAAAAAAATAATTACGATAAAAATGAATTTATGCAACGACCTCAAGAAAGCACTAAAATATTCAATATGTTTGCCCGCATAATATGCATGTGACCATGTCAATAAGATTTAAACAGATGTCTGTATGTTATAAAGGAATAGACCACAAATTCAATTTGACATTCGAAGTTAATCCCTTCAGTTACAAAAAGGATAAGTGGAAAAAGTATATAAAGTTGTTCAATTAAAATTAGAGTTCAAAGATGAAGCAACACTTGAAATAAGGATGCTAAAGTTATAAATGTGCCATGCACGATGTGATAATTAAAACGAACAATAATAAATGTCAAGTTCAAAAATTAAATAGCAATAATTCTGGAAAACAGAAGCTAGTATTATAAATCTTTATCAAATATGACAAAGTATAACAAACATATTTTTGAAGTTTGAATTAAATCCCTAAAAATTAAAGAGTTTACATAAAAAGAATTAAAGGGAAGATAATTTGAAAAAAATGAAAATGTTGACGCTAATATTAAGGAAATTGTCATTTCATCATTACATGGGAGTCGATATGAAACTTAGATTTGAAGTTTAAAGCAAATCCTTTAAAAAATAAAGAGATGAGAGCAATAAAATGTTTAATGGGAAAAATATTTCTTCAACAAATTCATGCTAGAGTTTTGAATCTTGAATGATAATAAGGAACACATATCTGAATTTTCATGTAATTTTGCAGATTTTCATGATTCAGATGGCTCACCTTTTTCAAGATATTGAAGTATATAACTTAAGAAAATACGAAGTTTTAGTTACAAGTATAAATCGTCCGTTCAAGGGGGTAATTCTGAAAAAAATGTGTTTTGAGTTATGAATCTTAACACACACCATGTGGGTAATGATAAGAATCATGTATTTAAAGCTTGAAGCAGTTACCTTCAAAAGTAAGGAAGTAACTTTAAAATGATTTTTTGAAGGAAACAAGTCCAAGGAGGGATAATTCTGAAACAAAACATGTGCTAGAGATATGACTCTTTTCACAATCATGTGGGTGATGGTAAGGAACTTAATTTAAATTTTGGAGTAGGTACCTAAAGAAATAAAGTAGTTTATAGCAGTTTTTTAAGGAAAAAATAATCAAATGCAGAGATAATTATAAAAATATTGGTACTAGAGTTAGAAACATTGTCACATATGAAGTTATTGATCATCAGAAACATATGTTTGAAGTTGATCTCTTGAGAAATAAAGAAGTAAGAATAGAAAGATGATGTATTTAAAGAAATTTTTAAGATGAAAGAGAGATTATTCAGAAAATATGACTTTTAAAGTTATGAACTTTTACACATGTAAAATGTGGTTGATGATAAGGAACATATATTTGATGATTGAAGTTGATAGCTTAAGAAATAAAATATTTCACTGCTAAAACTTTTTAATCTCAAATTTGGACGCGGATATAAGTAAGATAGATCTCCATATACTTCGTATAGTCGAGCTAAAATGATTTAATGTAAACATGATTTCTTCAAAGCTGTTTAGTGTACCATTAGTTAATAATAAAGTTACATTGTCTGCAAACATGTTATTTTTGAATTTTTCATAAAAATTTCTAAACTTTCAATATTTTTGGTCTAAAAGCTGTTGAGAGAAATTCCAGTGTTAGTCCTTTCTATCTAGCCTTTTCTAGTTAGGTGGGTCAAATGTAACTACTTGAATCACCCTTAGGATATGTTGCCTGCAATTTAGTGATATTTCTGAATTAAAAAGATCGAACTTTGCAATAAATATATGTGATGGTTTCCCCGTACATTTAATCAATGATGTTATATTTTCGATCCTTGAAGATCGTTCAGCACAACATTATTGGTGTGTATACATTTTAGATGGTATTTTTAGTTTCTTGTATTTGGCCTTTTTCAACTTGGGTGGTTACAGTATTCCTACTTGAATACTGTATAATCACCTTTAGGATATGTTGCCTGCTTTTTAAATTTGTCTTTTGACGTCTTATCTGTGATATGCAGGCTTCATAACCTCAGATCCCCTTCAAAATTCCATTTTATTTTGTTCCGCCCATTGTTTTCTCGTTTAGGGCAAAAAGCATTCGTTTACTTGGGGACCTTACGCCGCTTTTCGTGGAATGGCACTTCTGTGTCACATTGAAGGTTCCATGATAACCGCCGTATGAACACATCTGCGGATGTTTTTAAATTCAAAATTTCACCATTTTCGTGTTTAATGTTGAATTCTGCTTAAGCCGGTCCTAGGGGGCGTGGACGGTAACTTGCACTTTCCAGTACCGTCCATGAACAGGCTCAATCAAAATGAGCCTGCAACATTTTACAAATTTGCCGTGTTGATCTTTCAATAGGGATTCTGTTTTTCTCTATTTTATGAAAATAGTACATAAATGGAGGTAATCTAGCCGAGGCATAACGGTGCAATATTTACTTTTATGATTATTTTATTTTGTGATAAGACATCGCATTTTGATAATGAACAATTTATATTTAGACAACAGCTCTAGCTAAAAAAGGGAGAAATTCGTAACTTACAACAGGATCAGAAGGTAGCAGCTGGTAACAGATGCACCGTTTTGGAAAGTATATGGCCATAGAGAAAGCCCTTTTATTTATTTTAATAAAACTTACTAACTTTAATGAAAAAAGTGAACATAAAAGTTTTTTTTCACATCGTTGATATTACGTCCGTTGATTGAAATTACGATCAACATGAACTTACGGTTATGTCTTCCGTTTTATTATTATACCTATTTGTATGTTTTTAAGAAATAATTTTATCAATTACTAAAAGCATTTCTATCCAGCTAGCTAACGGAACGTTGGTGGTTCTTTTTAGGTGCCCGTTTGTGCCTGAAATGATTCACAAAGTGCACATCAGTTATTCTTTCACCTGTTAAGCTGGTAAGTTGTCATATAACATATGTCCTGGTGAGGCGTTAACCCCAATCACAATTAAAAAAACAACAACAAAAAACAGGACATTTAAGGGCAATTTCGATTATCAAATTCGCCGTGTCCCTAAGAATAATGATACAGTATTTATATTTAAAAAAAAAGGTTTCTTCCGCCACATCAACGTTGTAAAAAGTCGCCCGTACATTCAATCAGAGATGTTATATTTCCGATCCTTAAAGATCGTTCAACACGACATTATTTTTGTATTGTGGTATTTTATTAGTTTCAACTATTTGACTTTTTCGATTTGGGTGGTTCAAATATATTCCTACTTGAATAATATTGAATCACCCTTAGGATATGATGCCTGCTTTTTAACTTTGTCTTTCGACGTCATATCTGTAATACGCAGGCTTCATAACCTCTGATCCCCTTTCAAAATTTCACATTGTTTAAGTCCGCCTATTGTTTTCTCGTTTCGGGCACACGCTTTCTATTACTGCGGGACCATACGCCGCTTTTCATTGAATAGCACGGAAGTGTCACATTGAAAGTTCGTGATAACCACCGTATGAAAACATCTGCTGGTGTTTCTAAATTAAAAATTTGCCATGTTGTATTAAAATGTTGAATTCTGCTAAAGCCGGTTCTATGGGGCGTGGACGGTAGTTTGCACTTAACAGTACAGTCCATGAACAGGCTCAATCAAACCGAGCCTGCAACATTTTCAATATTGCCGTTTTGGACTTTATTTATGGATTCTTTTCTTCTCTATTTCAATAATAGCTTGAAAACAAAACTTTCTAATAATTTAAAATAACTCCTTTTTACTATAACAGGTAAGCTATTTGTTTATATTTCTCATACCTGGTTGATTTGGAGGTATGTGTTTTCTCCATGTTCCAAGCTTGTAAGTGTCATCAAGAAATTCATAATTGAATGTTACTTCAAATTGTTTACTGCTAGCCTTCGACATTTTTGTGCAATGATTGAATACTTTCCTGGCTGCCTCTAAACCGTGATCATAAAAATACGTAAACATGTATATACATTAAAAAGATTGCCTCAATGACATAAGTACTTAAGGGCTAAATGTTTAATTCAACTTTTAAGTTTTGTTAAATGGTAAGATCCCCGTGTCTTAAAACTAGCGTACTAACATTACCATAACTACTTTAGTAATGTTCAGACAGAATATTCGCATGTCGGGATGACAATTACATAAAGTTCTGCAAAGTGTTGTTTCCAAGCAACCATAGTAAATAAAGCAATGGTACGTTTTATAAATCAAATGTTATGTTTTATATGTATGTTGTATAAAGTTATTGATTTTCTGGTCATTTGTCTTTATCAGTCTACTATTCGGTGAATGGGGATCTCAAGAACGACTGTTTATTCAAACTTAACCTCTCTATATTATTTGTGGTTAAATATTAACATCGAAATTAAAACATACATAATGCAAGCAATAGACAGAAACTATCAAGTAAGTTTTCAACATACCAGGCATTTGTCTGATTAGCTTTCTCATTGGTGTGTCATGAAACTCATCCGAGTCATTTAATTTTGATCTTGATCGCAGCATTTTTGTCCATTTGGAGTTCTCAAGTTGAAAGATCCTAAGAACTGTTTCCCTGAAAATTGCCGTATGTTGATCAAGATGTTAAGACCATTTATAAGATTCATGATTTGCAAAACTTAACTTTTTCACATTATTTGAAAAGACATATATATATTTTTTTGCTACACGATGGTGTCAATAGCAGCTTGATGAAGTAAAATCCAAACAATAGTTTAAAGCAAACCTTTATGATAAGTTATATTTGTAACAAGTCTAAATTGTTTTGCTCAAATGGGAAAAACAAATCACGATAATGCAAGACCACCACTTACACGTGGTTATTATCAATCGCTAGATCCAAACAATTTATCGCTGGTTTATCAAGATCAATCTTTTTTGAACTTGCAAGCTTATAGAACACTTCGGTTTGACCTTTTTGCGCAGCAAAATGGATAGGTCCCATCTATTTCAAACAGAAAAAAAGATTGAAATATTCAGAAATAACAAATTATTCATTTGAATCATATAATAATAATATAGTTTGCATATTTATAACAGAAGGGTAAATTTGAAAACTTAAATGCATCAATCAAACTAGAATACTGGTAGTGGAAGCACTGTATACATTAATATGGACAAAACATGAAAAGGAAATAAATAACGATTCCAATAGTGTGAAATTCTGATATGTTAATTCTTCCTTGTAAACACACCTTTTGTTATATCTACATCAAACCAAATATTTCAGAGTAAATCTTATATGCGCCGCTGATTTTTCATCAGAACGGTAAAACCAAATCGGTCAAATGAAAAGTAATATGTTTGTGAATAATAGGGTGTGACGGATCAAAACATTTTCAAACAAAATTTTCTCAATACGCAAACGAATTTTATTTTATTTATATATAAATTATTTAGAAAGGTATGTTCAGAAATGGTATGTAAATATGCTTGCAACTTTTAGGTTTTGGGATAGTGCAGATGAACTAAATAGTGTGTTAACGATGAAAAACAGTTTGATTTTTACATTATTGAATTTGTTGCTTATTCATACTTATTTCTTTTTATCATACTATCAACAATACTCAAAACTTTTTAATCTGTTATAAAATGTATGACATCTTATCTTGTGTATTATCCGTGTCATTGTATAAATATCACATCCTACATGTGATGTGAACGTAGCCGTTAGCCAATGCTGTCATTATTCTGTCCAGGGTAAGCATTTCGTTCCATCACAAGCATTGGGATGTGATATTTATTGTATTATACCCGTACAAATCAATATTGAAGACATAAATCGAATGAATAAAGCCCAAACGAAGATATGCATGTGAGGGCTATTCAATAATGTCAGCAAAGTAATATTACCATTTGACATTACAGATCGTTACTCTTTAAAATCACTTTTGAAGGCCAAAAAGTGAATAAATCACGTGTTTTTTAAATCACAGGTATTATAATAACATTTTTAACATAATAAAAAATGACCATTTACATACGTTTATGATAAATGATAAAAATAAAGCATGTTAATTTATTTCATCTATAAACTGCATCAAATATGTTCTCCCACAAGCTCTTGATAGTTTTCTTTGCGAAAAGGTAAATGTTGAAATAAATGCAAATACCTTATTGTTATCTTCCAAATTAATATCCGCGCCATTTTCTACCAGTTTTATTGTGCATTCTAACATTCCATTTTCGGCTGCATAACTTAATGGTGTTCTGCCATTTTTGTCTCTTAAAAATATACTTAAGTTGTTCTAAACTGTTAAATGGAATATCATGCGTAAATCACATATAAAAGCAGTCGTATATAGACGATATTTATGACTACCATATATAACGAATAATTACACAAAATTGTGTATCTCTTAAAAGCATGGTTATCCAAAATGTTTATTGATTGCGATTGATTAAGTCATTTAAACTGCAATCTTTGTTTGTTAGTGACTACAGCTCATTCAGTCATCCTGAAAGGCACTGAGAGATGATTAGGTTATTTTGCACGTGCGCTCATTCACTCGCCCATTATGGAAAAATAATGCCGAGTAGCAAGGTGGTCAAAATGCATAATGATCTAATTAAATCTTGCGATAATGGCTTTGAAATACCTTAGATTTTGTTACTCTGATAAGTAACATATTTATTAAGTTCTTTTTTACCTTTACCACGTTATTGAAAAGGGAATTTCCAGAACAAAAAAAAGTGAAAAGATAATGGGTTTCCATAAAGAACTGCGAAAAAGGCAAAAATACAGATGCTACAGACTCGGTTTGATAGAACCTGACAATAGATGTTAGTGCAAGCTACAACTAGCACTGATTACGTAGAACTTGTCTTCGTGAGATCATAGGCTCAAAGGGTTCAAACATGGCTCATAGGGCTCAAACATGCAAAATTAGTAGCAACTGATCGATGAAACTAAAAATACTGTCCATGTTGTAAACTCTTGTTATTGAAGATGTACATCATTTTATAAAGATATGACCCTGTTACAAACTCATTCATAATATATATATTAAAAACTTGTATGCTCAAACATCGATGATCAATTTAACACAATTTCTTCAAACTTCAGATAAAGTTACAAAGTATATAAAAAATCTGACTTTTATCTATGCTCTTATTTATACCTTAAAACATATTTTGTAATCCTAGTTGAAGACATAGTATTTTCACTTACTTGAATCAATATCTTATTGTCTTCATGTATCATGATCACATGATATTGGTTTTGGTATTCATTTCCATGACTATGTATCATGTACAAGCCTAACTTCTTGTAAATGCTGGTCTGATATGTGTCTTGGGAGAATTATGTTCTTATCAATTAATTAACTTACTTGGTGTTTATTTTTGCACCTTTAAGTAAAAGGATCTCAACGACTTTGACATGTTTGATTGCGTCGTGAAGTGCTGTACGTTTTGATTTGTCTTTCATATACATCAGCTTCGGTGCCTTCTCAATCAAACATTCTACATTTCTTTGTATTAAAAGAATGACATGAAGTCGCTAAATACGACAAAATTGACATTTTTCATATGAAAACAACCCATCAATTCAATATTTTAATGCAAATAAAAGTAATATCAAATATAAATTGACGTAATTGTTTTGTTTATTTTGTTTAATCAAAACACGCAATAATACACAAAAGATTAAAAATGCTATAACTTGTTAAATGCTTGTGAAAAAAAAAACACGTTAAGGATTATAAAAGCGAAAAAAATAATAAACAACAACAAAAGCAAGCACTTGATTGAAAAGTGATGAAAAGTAACAGTTACCTTATTCTTCCTTTTGCAGCTGCAAGATGCAATGCTGTCTTTCCATTTTCGCATTTTGTACATAAATCAGATGTTTTCTTTATCAAAATCTAAAAACATCATGTCATTTAGCATATCGTACCTTGTCAAAATACTAAAAATATATCTTTTTTTCTGGCTCAATCAAGTTTTTTTTTAAACTCTGGAATGCCCTACCTAGAACACTTAAAAGCTGTGAAACTCTAACAGTGTTTAAGAGAGCACTTAAAACTCACTTATTTAAGAGGTTTTATTTGGACTGATTATTTTTTTAGGTTCGCTTTTTTTTAAAATTCTTAAGCCATATTTGTTTTTTTATTATTTATGTGGGTCTTTTTAACTTTTTAAGCTACATTTGATTTGAATTTGTGACTTGAGCAATATTGATGTTTTAATTTGTTTTTTAAATATTGTATCATTTATTTGGTTATACTGTACAGTACTTTTAAACGTGTCAATGTGCTTGAAAAAAGTGCTTAAGAAGTTTGGTATATAATAATGATAATAACTGACCCTTATCTTCTCTCGCTACCGTAGAAATCCAGTGCGTATCATATCCATGATTTCTTCAACCAAACTGCCTTTTATTTCTTATATATTCATAACAATGCTTTTGTTTGATAAGAAAATGGTTGGTATTTAATTTCTTTTTTTTTTTACATCTTTTCACAAATCTTTTAAAAAACATTTTTTTCATACTTTTCTTTTCAAAAAAGTTAATATTCAAGCCATTTTAACCATCGTTTATATCTAAAAATGAATCCATAGCTTTGTTTTTCAATTCAATTTGTTTTCATATATTGTTCTGGACTCCTTTTAATTTCCATTACTGTATATCATATAACAAACTTTTCTCAGCAAAATAAAACGAAAAACATACAATGTAAATTTTTTATTCTGTTTCTTTTTTTAAAATTCCATATTTCACTATGCCCCTTTTTTACAACACATTTAATTGATATTGTCCTAGAAAAAAGGAATTAGATGCTTTTTTATAATAATGTATTAAATCTTTTATGAGGATTTTAATCACAATTTTTGTTTTGATACATATTTTTAATGTTCTTAATAAATGAAGGTACATTGTACCCTTTACCTACATTTGTTCTTGTTTTTTAAGTCATTTTTATCCTGTGGTAGTAATGTTATCATTTTATTTTACTTTCATTTCTGGTAAATTATTTACATAACTGTAAGCGTTATTTACTGTAAAGTATGTCCACATAATTTGTGTGTTCTTTTGGATCGTTCTAAAACAACGACCTTACATTCATTTAATGATTGATGCACATTAATCTTATTTTATAAAATTTCTAGAAAAGGTAAAGTATAAATTTTGTTTCCTTCGTCCACAAATTATTTCTGAGGAATTCTATCCTCACAAATTAGTTTATCAATTTTTTTATCAATAATTAAAGGAACTGACCAAAAATATTTGCCTTATAGATCAACAACAGTCAAAAATTATTCAACATCTTTAGTATCCTTAGAAAGGTTTTGAGATTCAACTGGATAAGCAGACCATGTGTCATCAACATGTCATCAGCATTTACTATTACACGCCTAAGGCCGTCTTAAATCAGTTTGACTTTCTGTAAACTTTAAAGAAAGAATTAAATATTAAATGAAAAATCATTAAAATTCATTGGTCAATTCAAAGATTTAAACTGAAATCTGGGAATCATATTAGTCATTCTTAAATAAGTAAAATAATGTAAAGGAGCTTTCTGAAATAGTATTCGTGTCTAATCATTAATTAACCCAAAGGAGTCTCAGAGTTTTAGGTTCTTTCACTTCCTAGTAATGTTACTTAGGTATTTAGTTTTGTTAAACCATGTCCACTTCCACAAACTAGGTAACGCTGCTTTTTAAATTCATTATTAAAATATAGTTTTAACCAAAATAAGGAGACTAGCAGAAACGTTCACGATCCCATAAACTCATGCTTATGAAAATACCGAAAAACACAGAATTTATCTGCCAAGTAATTTCCATTTTCTTCCACCGTCCAAAAGACATAGACAGACACGAAAACTTCTACATAAGTCTATATAAATCAATTACTTCCCGGGTGGAATCAATTTTGACCGTAGGAAGTCCAAACTTGTATTCTGCACACCGTCACAATATAAGTTATATTTCTGCCAAGTAGTTTCAGTTTCCTTCAACCGGTGCATAAGATACAGACTGAACAGGAAAATCCTGGTAACCGACAGACGGACGGACACACGGACAACCAGGAATATAACAATATACGCCAAATTTCTCAGATACTAATGTCGAATACGTTATTGCTCAATCGAAAAGACCAATCAGTGTTCAATCTGTAGAAATTTTATATATTTTTATATATAGCATATTAATGAAAAAGTTATATGACTGCCTACGATTAAATTGTTTATTATCTGATGTTTTTAAAAGTATTTTTGGATTACACGGTTCGGTAAGTTATTATTTGTATCCCGAATTTTAAGAGTCTTTCGGAATTTCTGTCACTGTGGCTTAGCATTGACAAAATGCACTCATTTATAAACTTTCTATTAAAATTTCTATTGATTAAAGTTCATTTACTGGAGTATCTCTTTTTGGATCTAGAATGATATTCAAAATTATAAATATTGCTAAATATTCTTTGTTAAAATGGTATACATGAGAGTAAATTGAACTGAAACGGCAATTTCTAGTATAAATTATATAATAAGTCAGTGTATATAATTATGTTTTGTAGTACTGGCGTCTTCATTCTTTGCTAATGGATTTAAAAGTAGAATTGTGCTGTCAGATTATGGATAAACCTTATTTTTGGATTCGTCAATATGGGTTTACAAATAATCATATTTTTGATAATTATAAGTCTTAATTATATGTAACTCTTAAAAGTAAAAATTCATTTTGTATCTTAACTTAAAAACCAACAACAAAAATATCAAATCAAAACACCATGGAGATACATGCATCCATGACAACTATCTGATCTGACTCATGTAAACATTGGACGAAGAGTAATTTATTCGTGAGATTCAGACCTTTAGCACTATTTTATGTTCTTGTCGGAAAATCGCTTCTACGTCGTAAAGGAGATATATAGTTAACAAGTAAAAAGTTTTGCATAAAAGTTTTCTTTAAAACATATAACTGACATATTTTGTCAGTTTTACAGTACCCAATAGTGTCCATTAGAAGGGTTCTTATCTTAGATACATTTCCAAATAATATTGGATCCCATTGTTGGAGTATACCACAAAATGACGTAAAGATAAACAAGTAAGAGCAACAGTTACGGAGTGCAGTCACTCAAATGACTAAGCAATGCAGTACCTGGAATGGAAAGTGTCCCGCATTGCACCATTCCCGTATTGCACCATTTTAGTCTGGGCAGATACCATCAAGTTAGAGTATTTTTTAAATGTAAACACGGCTTATATCTATTATTGACGTGTTGATAAAACTATAACTCTATTTATAAACAATATAAAACAGGAAAACTTACATTCAAACATTCGAAGTACCCCTTTTCCGCAGCGACATGAAGGGGTTCTTTTTTATGTTTCTTTTCTTGAGACGTATCACCGGTATTCTGTAAAACATTAATATTAGCATGACTTCAAGGTAATATTCATTTAGAGACAAAATTCAATATCGAATATTACATGTAAATATTAGAATCATGCATAGCTCCACTAACTCCTTACTTTTATTATTTTATTAAAACTAAGCTGATATTTTAAATATTTTACGCTCATTGTTTTATTAAATTAAACAAGGGCGTATTATTATTTTAATGTAAGTCAAGTATATATATTAAAGGGAAAGGCATGTAACAACCATCCATTATCGGAGAAAACATTCAGTTTGACAAAGTCCGAAACATGCAATAATTTCAATATCGATATCTACTTAAATTATAAGTTATTATTTTACTATAATTGTCATCGCATTTTTGTCAGATCATTTTAATACATGCATGTATGTGAATAAGATTAATTAGTTCTTCATCAAGATATATTTCTGTTGTACCAGCATGCACAACAATACTGTAAGTGGGTACAATACGTCATAATCTCGGTCTCGTCTGTCTCGAGAGTCAAAGAATGCCAAAATGGCGGCGCCCATGAACTTATTTCTCAAGTAAAAAAATAGTGTCTTAAAACACGAATTTCTCAGTTATATGGTTGATTTCAACAGAAAAACTGCCATGGTACCTCTTTTTAAATGATGAATTTTGACTGACATTTATCTATTCATTCCTATTCCTTTAATATATCTGTAAGAAAATAATTTTTAAAACAAATAAGATTTATATAAATGATCGAATGCGACATACCCCTTTTGTTGCTGTATGACAAAAATAATATCAAAACCGGCCACGGATCAAAACAATTATTAATTTTATTGATCGTTTGTTCGTCAATCTGTACATATCTTTTTATAGCTTAAATCTAATAACATAGCTAACAGCCTTACAATATTGATCGAAAAGCAGTCAAAGACTGCAGTTTTCATCGAACAGGAGAAACGGTAATAAACGAGAGTAGTCAATTATATTTTTTAATAGCATAAACATTTTTAAATACACACATAAGTGCAAAAATGTACAAAGCCGGGATGTGAGAGCTATTCACAAATGACTTTTACTCACATTGAGCTATAACCTAGACGAAAGTTAAGCAAACGTCAATTGATAAACAAGAGCACCGCATAGGCGTGGCAATATTCGCCGGGATGCTAATTTGTTTAAAGTAATAAAGAAATATTAAAACATAGGCGACCCATATATTTCATTTGTCACAACATGTTTTATTTCAATTTTTGATAATAGAATCTGTATTGATACATGCAAAAATACTCCGCTCTTGACACATGAATACTTATAATAATTAGACGGTGCATGCACGCGCCGTCTAGTAGATATGCATTTGTCCGTTTAGCAATGGGGAAAATTTTAGACTTGATTTGGTGCATCTTTTTTGTTTGATCAAAATCACATTGTTTTCAATTTTTCTAATAAAAATAGCTTTTCTGATGTATAACATGTTACAGAGCTTTAAGGCATTAAAATAAACGTTTAACTGAAGTGATAGTGTCATGTTTGAATATCATATTCTTTTCTTTTTATCATTATCTAATTTTATCTACCTAAAAAATAACGTGCCAATGAGCCAGTCGATGAGTCAATCGTTCTAATACTTAACCGTTGAGAGAGGTAACGACTTAAGCAGTGTCACTCACTTCATTTGCTCCGCCTCTGTTGAAATTTGTCTCTGCCTTAAATTGCCGCCAAATTCAATATGCTAGCATTTAGTCTTCGTTGACGGGGATGGGGGAGGGAACAAGGACATTATGATCAATATAACTTGACGAATTATTAAAATACAAGTTACAAAGCCTAAACCACGCCCACTATCAGAGAGGCGGTTCTCCTTTAAACCTTAGCTCAACACAGACCCGTCTATAGTCTAATGACGGGCAGAGAACAAGAGGTATCACTAAAATACGCAACGGAGGTTATTTTGTCAGAGTTGTATTTTAAGATCTACTTTGTATAATAAACGTTTTTATTAATAGCATTGCATATATGGTATTCTTAAAATAGTTTTTTTTTCATTTATTTGGAATTTTAATATTATTCTTTCACATACTATTTTGACTTCATTAAGAAGCCCGGACGAACGCGAACACATTAGACAGGACTGATTTTAAGAAAGTATGAGTGCTAGAGGCATTTTATAGTACAAGTGGTATCTTGAGTGTTTTAACCTAATACAGGTATGCTGAAGACAACGAGGGTGGATACCAAATTTGTTCTTGACCTTCAAAAGGTCATTTCAAAAAGGCCGCTTGAAAAAACTAAAATCGGTCATTAAAACTATGATATAATATAAAAGAATTAATTATCCTTGTCAAAAATCAAATGATTATTCAATATTCTCCAATTAAATACAATTATTCAGTTAATTATATGACAACTTTCTAGTAATATAAGGTAAACACGTTAAAATCGCCCTAAAACGAGGTCATAAAGGTCATATCTATTATTCATTTCGCAAAACATGATTATTATTTTCAAGTAAGGTAAAACTACATTTTGTTATTTCAACTGATATCATATTTAAGTTTCTACTGAATGAATTTGATACTGAAGCTACTGTGTTATGCAATAAAGCTCTCAATATGGTCTCATGTGTATATTTCACATCGCACTCATGAATTGAGTGCTCATTTGTTTATATGTACATATGGCAGTATTTGTCGCAGTTTGAAGCGCATTGGCTTTGAAAAAGTCGTTTAGTCTGTTAATATGTTGTGTTTTGATTTTTTACTACTCAATGATGTGCCAAAGGCTATGCCGGTGTAAAAGATAAAAACAATCAAAGGGCAGATAGAAATAAATTCAAGTATTGGCATTTCCAAAAACGCTATAAATGGACGTGAAGCCGGGTTTTCGAAAAATAAAATCTCGAAAAAAAACTTATTCCTGAGCAATAGAGCTAATGTTTGTTCTCTTAAGGGAAATATTCCATATATTGTTTACCCTGTAGAAGCCCACACTCCGGCTTCGTGGTTCGCATATGAAGAAAATAGTTTATTTCTATATAAAGCTAGTTCCCGACATAAACATGGCGGATGCCGTGCTCCGTAGGCGCCCCCTTTTTGAGGTTATTTTGTCTTTCAATTTGTTATCATGTGGCACTAAAGTATGCATTTTGTATAGCTTATTGCATGCGGTGTACATGGGTGAATGGTCAAATCTTGTTTATTGTATATTTTGCCATCCAGGGACGACAACAATAACAAAACAGCTAGGTAAGGGAAATTTAAATCAGTGATTTGTGGATAAATAATGGTTGACTGGATTATAGATTGCTCAGGAGATATTCCTTTTTGATTTTAGTTGTTTTTTATGGATTCCACTGCGGAACAATAAGGCTATGAGCGTATCATGCCATGATCTTATTTGACATTGAACCAAGGTTGGTCAAAGCTATCGGTACTTTGAGCTTTGGAAATTCAATGAAAAACGCAACCCTGACGCTATCATGTTTAAATCCAACAAGAACTAGCTGAAACGAATTAAAAACCTGATGAATATTTAAAATTTTTGGCAAACAGATTATATGCTTGAGCTGAAAAAGTCCTTAGCATTTATTAGCGTGGCTTGTTTTATAGCAAGCCAGGTTTGGACACTAAGGAGTGACTTAAAATTAACATTAGTGATCACAACAGTTACCAAGATGTCAAGTCATCTGACTGTAAATACCAGTAGGACTATTGATCCATACGTTTTAAGTTAGTAGTATGGACTGAATTACATTATTTTGTACATGTATTTAATCATGGGCAACCATGATAACTACTTATTACTTTCTATTGTCTCATTTTAAAATTGCACAGGCCTAGCTATTTTGTGTAATATTAAGAAATTGGAATGTATCTGGATCACAAAACCTATGCAAATATGAAATATGTAACAGAATATTCATTATTACCTTTATTAGTTTTTAAATGATTATAGCACAAGTGTGGTAATACTAAGCAAACCTTTTTCATTTGAATCTGGTACGTATGTAATACAATTTCATGTAGCACTAGTAATGTGTTGGTGAGTTACAAATACAAAACTTTGGGGTAATTTCTGTTTTTCACTAATTTATTTTATTTTGTTATAGTTTGAGCTTGATTGTTTAGCATAAATCATTTGGCTTTATAACAGTGCCGTTATGAAAACAAACTCTAATTATTGACATCATAGTAACAGAGCTTATATGTCAATAATAGAATTTGTAACTCGCTGAATAGGGCAAAGGACCTTTAAATTGGGATAAAAATATAATCCTTAGATGCTGCTCATGCAATTCAGCTAGGATATATGTATAGTATATGTTTATTTAGATGATCCAGGAGTCTCAAGACGAAGTCTCATTCACTGTCACTGACATCTGACTTGGAACCAGTGCATGACAGGGAGAAAAGGGCATATAGTGCTGTGCAAATACGCGTACAAATCTAAGTAGCCACTCTATATGCTTGCATAGAGTGCCAGATAAAATACTTGAAAGCTCTATCTAGGTAATTGGGCAGGGAAGGATGTAGTGGTCGCTGCGTAAACCCTAAATATAGTGATGGTTCAAACGATTAGGAACTTTCTAGAATTCCTATCTCTTGCATTCTAGTCTCTTATGTTTAAATTCCTTGAAATATTCAGTATAATCTTTAATATTACTTCTCCTATATTGGCCTTTAGAAAATGTCCGCCATCTTGGATTTTTCGGCCATATTGGATTGTTGTTTTTTTGTTTCTGTTTTGGTGTCTATTTTTTTTTACCTAAACATACTTTGTGACACATTTCAGGCTTTTCCTATCTTTAAAAGTTTTATTTGATATTTATTTATAATAAAGAAATTTGGCGGTCATTTTAGTGGTCATTTAAAATGGCCATTTCAGTGGTCAATTTCATTTTTTTAATTTGGTATCCACCTTTATCGGAAATAGCATCCCTTAATAGGTAAAATATACCAAGATACCACTTGTACTAAAAAATGCCTCTTGCATCTTATTTAGGGCCAAATTCTCAAAAGCAGTCCTGTCTACATGAACGATAAGAGCTTAATGCTTTCAATGTCTACATTTAAATTTGAACTTAGTGGAAATTTATCTTATTTTGTTTGTAAATGTACCCATTTAATGGTATTATTCTATGAAAAACAAAATGAAAAAATGAAGTATTTGGTATGAAATTTTGATTGCCTAGAAGAATTAATAAACAGAAAAAATTAAACCAGTTCACGAATAGTTTGTCATGTGTCGTAGTAAACATAATCAATGTAGAAATTACATATACCCGAATCTTAAAACGAGGTGTGTAAAACAAAAGATATACAATAAAAAATATTCCTTTTAATAAAAGGTGATAAAACAAGAAATAAGTTTTATCTTGTGTATGAATTTCGTTTTGAACTTAATCATAATCATTCAATTTCATACAAATAATCGTTTTTTTTTTAGATAGTGACAGATCAAAGGTGTGCGCAACCAGAACAAATGAATATTTTTTTAAGATAAAAAAGAAAATTACCTCTGATTACACAATTCATTGCTACAAGTTTTGTCATTTCCATATAATGGATGTGAAATTCCTCCCGCTACAAAGATGTTATATTTGAAGATTACTTTATTAGCTCTTTTAGCTACATAATCTGATAAACACGGGTTTTAATTACAGAGATAAGTGAAACAACAGAAATTGTTTATCAGTTCACTTTATTTTTGGCCCTGTGTTATAATACTAAACCTGATAAATAAAGAAACAAGAGTTACCTGAATCTGATTTGTTTTTGTTTCTGTTTCTGCCCCTTCGTTCCCAGCTGATTCCTAAACGATAAAAATATTACTTTTTATAAAAAGTGATAAAACAATAGATAACATAAATCTAGTGTATGAAATTCGTTTTGAACTTAATCATTCAATTTCATACAAATAGTCGTTTTATGAAATAGTGACAGAGCTAAGGTATCCGCAATCTGAAAATACATATGTTTTACTCAGATTTATAAACAGATATCGCCACTGATTACCCAATACATTGCTACAACAGTCCTGCTTTGTTGTAATGTTGTAATATTTGAAAATCAATCGGTATGCTCGTTTTTAGTAGTATTAAGTTATATTACCTGATGAACAGGGTTTTATTTTAAAAGATCAGTAAAACAGAAATTAATTCGATCAGCTTACGTATAATTTCGCCATATGTTTTGGTAAACCTGATCAATTAAGAAATAACACATACCTGAATTTGATTGGATTGTGTTTCTGTTTCGGCATCTTCATCAGCATCTAACTCCTACAATTTAACGATAAAAATATTCCTTTTTATAAATTTAAAGTGATAACACAAGATTACTTGAATCTGGTGTATAAACTTCTTTTTTAACGTTATCATACAAATAAATGTTTTACAATATAGTTGCAGGGCAAAGGTGTCCGCAACGAGAAACATATTTTTTTTTACCTGAGACAGGAGACAGATATAACCAGCGATTTCTCAATCCACTGCCAAAACATTCGCCCCTGTCGTTTGAACACCGTGAAAAACCCAGCGTCTCCAAGTTGAAATACTTGAAGATCACTCTGTATGTTCTTTTATGATTTATTAGCTGATTTATGTTTTAATCTTATTAATGAGTTTATTTTTTATAAATTAGAAATGAACAGAAAAATAAATTAAATCAAATTTAGGATATTTTTCCATTTTCTTTGGTAAACATGGTAAATGTTAAAGTTTAAAAAGCAAAAACTGAATGTTATTTGATTTCGTTCCTACATCTTTCTGTATTTTCTCTTTTATACTAAAATCATACGGAGAACATTTATATTGTTTGTTAAACACACATACACCCCTCAGCCAAGATTCGTATCAGTTACATATTTTTCAAAAGGGTAAACCCATTCACATAGTTAAGGAAAGAAAGATGTTGTTAACACAGTTGATTTTACTTTAACGATCAAAGTTATTTACAGATCATGACATTCTTGAGCTTAATTATTCATAATTAGGTCAGAAGAACAATTTTTGTATAAGACCTGATGTCTGGTGATGATATTCTATTGGTTTTGAATGTTTCACCGCTTAATTTACCTATAAACTTTTTCAATAGTTTCAACTTGAACAATAAGTTCACTTATTCATAGCATTTCTACGCACTCGGTATCTTTCCTTGATGTTTATTTATCTAACTACGAAATTTACAATATTGGTACCGATGTATTTCGCAAACGGACAATGTTCACATGTGTTTAGATTTTACGTCATCTCATCCTTTATCATGAAAGCGGGTATCCCGTTTAGTCAAGCTAAGCGCTATAGATAAATCATTTTTATGACTACACTTTTAAACAGTCTTTAGATACATTGAATAGATTTTTTCTGACGTCCTAATAATATACGAAATGATCTTATGAAGAGTGCTTTGCTGGATGCTACATTTTGTAAAGTCAACGTTTAAGCCGCGTGGTAGCAGCTCATTGACTATACTACCGTTACGGCAAACCGCTTCTATAACGAGCGTAGATTTGTGATATTGAATTTACAATGAACTCTGATTGACCAATGAAATACCAAGTTCTAATCGTCCCGAATATCTTTATACATATTTTCATTGTTTGAAACAGATAACCTGGATGCACAATTGATAAATAGAAGGACATTTCCTCGCCAAACAAAAAAGCGTTTTCCAGAGATTTCGGCAAAAAAAAACATTTAAGAAATTTAGGATACATTTGGTTGTTCTAACTTGGTCATAGACGTAACTGAGTTTTCAAAGAATATCCTCACAAACATCTTGTTTATTAGGTTATTTCAGTCATTCAAGAATTATACAAGAGAAACCAATAGCCCCGATCTACATTGGATAATTTTCATATATAATTATTCAGGCAATTTAATATCACGTGTGTGGGAGATGTACCTCATAGTTTTGGTCAGAGAGTTTTCAGTTTTTGATGAAGCATACCCTCTACTAGGTAGAACATACCATCACAGTCATGGTAGGAATATTATATATGTTTGAACATGTAAATTGTGATGTATTTGAAAATGAAGTGATCTTAAGCACATTCTTTTCACTTTCAAGCTGAGATAAGTAAGTTGTATATTTCAAAGGATATTTTCAATCAGACTATAACTAGGAAAACATTATTCAACACCCTTAGTATTACTGCAAGCCAGAAAAAATCTCAGGCACTAACTAGGATTTTAACCCTGGACCGACCTTTCAGTTACAAGGTCGAAAATCAACTATGCCGTTGAAGGTTTAATCCCAAAACAGGGCTGTAGGGAGTTGCCTATTCTCCTCTCCCTTCTTTATTTACTCCATACAAACTTTAATTACAAAGTGTGAATTTTAATCATTGTCAATGAACGAACACGGCATGCTCACGTTCAATGTAATTATACCTATAAAGTTCCCTGAAGAGGTCATGCCAGATGCATTGTCATACTTTCTACTAGTCAATTCATATCGCTCACAAATGAAACACTATAAGCATTATCATTTTTTCAATATTGTCACCATTATTGTGTACATGAAATAATCTCAGCATCCTATGAAATGAGTCATACATGAATTAAATTTCGTGCCGTTAAATTGGAACTACCACCTCAGTCCGGAACCTTTTGACTATACTTTTTGATACGTGGTAGGTTTTGTCATGATAATCATATTTTACTTATGTTGATTGCCTTACTATTAACTGTATATGACATTACCATGATAACAATTGATAAAAGATAATACTCACTTCATCGTCAGTGTCTCCTTTCACGACAGAGCTCTCAACGTCTTTTACCTGATCAAGCAGCATCTAAATCAAAACAGAGCATCGTAAAAACAAGCATCTAGAAATAACGTAGGTATATTTTAGTGTGTGGACGTGTTTGTAAGCGTGAATTTCAAAGTGATTTGTAAAAATTCCAACTTACTTTTAATAGCTTATCACTGTTATTGACCGTGGCCAATGACACAAGTTTGTAACAATTTCTTTCTATAACATCTTTAGAGTTCCTGCATGTCTGTATCAATTCTTTAGCGACTTTTTTGCTGTTAAATTTTGTAGCTATTTCAAGCATTTTATCGGTTTCAGTTCCATCTGGCATGTCTTCTTTTGTTAGGCGTTGAAATACTTTAAGACTGTCGTACCTTATTGCCGTTAAAAGAGGAGTTAGCTGTTTTACATCCTTAAAAGATACGTCAGCTCCACTGAAATAAAAATCTGACATACAGATTTTGAAGGAAAAAAGATTGTTAAACATATTATAAGGTTAAAAACTATTTTTGGATGAAATGATAGATCACCATATTACTATTACCTAAAAAGAGTAAAAACAATCTGGAAACAAAGTAATCCCACGGACGCATTTTACAAGAGGATTGCAGACTCGGTTTGATTAAGTCTGTACATGAGGGGTAATTAATAGTGCAACATCCTTCACGCCCCGTAGCACCGGCTTGAGCGGTACTGAATTCTCAACACTTAATTGTGCTCACATCAATGATCCCTAAGAACTAGAAAAATATAACATCACTGAAGTGAAGTACGGAGCAACTTCTTTACAGCTGCTACACAGCACTTGACACCTGCTGTTGTGAGGAAACAAAGTTCATGTTAATAAAATGAGAAAATGAATCTAAGAATGCAAGTTTATTATCTTATCGAGCAGGGCTTTAGAATGAACTGAGGCAAAACATGTTGCGATACATCAAATATCTAGAGTCTGTACAAGAATACGTAATTTAAAAAAGGGAAGTTTTGTCGGTGAAATATTTATTGCAAGCAATTCCTAATGGAGCATAGAATTATGTTAAAGGATACAAATGTGTATTTCAAGGGTGTCCAATTTGATATCGCAGAAGAACTACTTTACTTTATTTTGGCAGTTTAAAGATGATACAAATGTAAATTTATTAGACAGAAGTTGCTATATTGAAATTAGTTACATACGGCTTTTTCCAAAATCGATATCCATTTAAAATTATCATAGAAGACTGAAAAGCTGAAAATCACGTATTAATAGCAATGAACGTACTTGCTGAACATTAAATTCTTATTTTCTTGTCTTTTTACATTGTTTATTTTGTTTGTTTGTTTGTTTGTTTATTTGTTTTTCCTACTTTCTTTATTTGTTTCTTGATTTTTATTTGTTAGGTTTAAATCACGCAAAGCAAACACTGTAAAATTCACTTGGCAACTTTCTACCTTGACCTTTGAAGGACATTCGTACATTATTTCAGGGACAAGCGGGCACCTTAAAAGTTTTTTCAAACACCGACATTTAGTATGTAAGATCGCTTTGTCAATGTCAATGATTTTTCATGCATTTTAACAAAGTGACAACTGTAAATTTATTGTATTTCTACTTGGCTTGGGATACACAATAATTTGATTAACTTAGTTTTTAGAACATCATGTAATTACAACAGGCGTTTTTTTTTATCTGTCATGGATAATCAAAGAAAAGCCAAATCTGAAAAATAGTACGAAATTCTTTGAGTATGCAGTTAAATGTAAAGAAATAGTGGTATACACTGTAATATCATACAAGATAAATGATTTTTACAAACAACTGCACCAATTTCCTCCGATCCTCAAAGATTATTCTATTTTCAGCTCCTGTGACATAGTTTTTCATTGTTCAAACTCATCCGAGCAATTACCTAGACAAGCAACCAGACCACTATTGATGATAATTGAGTCAAAAATGTGACAACTGGAGTATTAACAAGTTTTTTCCATATTTGGGCGGCGTAACCTAGTTTTTCATCCGAGATGACCCATGTTCGAACTTGACCTAGAAATCATCAAAACAAACTTTAAAACCAATTTACGGGATATTTGGATCAAAACAGTAGCCACTGGAATGTTAACAATGTTTTTCTATTTTTAGCTCCTGTGACCTAGTTTTTCATCCGAGATGATCCATGTTCGAACTCTTAAGAGAAAATACATAGACAAGCATCCTGAACAAGTTTGGTGATAACTGAGTCAAAAATGTGACCACTAGAGTGTTAACAAGGTTTTTTTCTATTTTTAGCTCACGTGACCTAGTTTTTCATCCGAGATGACTCATGTTGGAACTCATCCGAGCAATTACCAAGACAAGCATCCTGACAAAGTTTGATGATGATTGAGTGAACAACAAGAATTTGTAGCAGACTTACCAACGTCCCCCGCCTATGGGAAGTTTTTTAATGAAGTACAAAATTGAGCTTTTTAAAAGACTGATAGGTGTTAGGGGTATAGGTGTTGCGCATGAAATGTTGTCATTATTATTATTATGTCATGATTATGCTCCCAAAAATAATTCGGGGGAACATATAGTCGCCGGGTTGTCCGTCCGTCATTCAGTCCGTCTGAGCGTCCCGAATTCGTGTCCGGCCCATAACTTCGTTATTTGAAGTCGGATTTTACAACTATTTCACGGAAATGATCCCATATTGAGACGACTTGTCGCGCGCAACATTTGGGTCGCTACCTTGAATGTCAAGGTCACAGAATGACCTTGCAGCAAAATCGTGTTCGGCCCATAACGTCGTTATTTGAAGTCGGATTTTACAATTATTTTACAGAAATGATCACCATATTGAGACGACGTGTCGCCCGCAACATTTGGGTCGCTACCATGAAGGTCAAAGTCACAGCATGACCTTGCAGCAAATTCGTGACTGGCCCATAACTTTTGTTATTTTGAAGTCGGATTTTACAACTATTTCACAGAAATGATCACCATATTGATGGACGACATGTCGCGCGCCAACATTTGGGTCGCTGCCTTGTTCTCACACTTTTGAACTTTGGCTGTGACATAACTCTGACACTACAAGAGGTATACCTTCCTGTGTCCAACACCTATTCTGGGAGCATCACTCGGTTCAACCGGCTCTTTTTGTGAACATTATAACAAGTTATTTTAAAATCCCTTAATGGTGAAAAGGTTAAATACCGCACACAAAATATACCCTAAAACAGATCATGTTAAACTTTGACATTCAAGTTTGACCTTGACATTCAAGGTAGGAGTCTGGCGTTGCATATGACACATTGTCATGTTATTGTTAACATTTGTGCCAGGTAATTTAAAAATCCCTTGAACAATTAAACAATGGGGACTGCAGATAAAATATACCATACAAAAGACCATATCAAGCTTTGACATGTAAGTGTTGCCTTGACCTTGGAGATAAGGGTCCGATTTTGATGACATGTCGTCTTATTAAACCATTCCACAGACTATGGTTATTTGACATATAACTATGACCTTGACCTTGGAGGTAAGCAACTGGCTTTTTCGCATGACACATTGTCTTATTATTGTGAACACTTGTACAAAATAATTTTAAAATCCCTTGATCTACGAAAAAGTTATGGACAAAACATGTACCGCTATTTTACCCTCTGAGAAGATAATATGTATTTAACAGCTCATAAATACATTGTTGAATGCTACAACAACAAATCCTTCAGAACAATTGGCATGAGATCCTCAGACTGATCTGAAAGATACCAACCAAGATCTACATATTTAGCACAACGAAATAATAAAGAAAAAACAACGTTCAAATTAGAAGATGGCATCACTAAAGTAAGGATCAGTCATCTGTGTAATATGTTTACGGGAGCGTATGATGAGACCTGTGAAATTTTTTAATTCGCACACGACATTATAGAGGAACGTTGCCTATCTAGCGTCTTTAGGGTAAACAGCAAAAATAAATCAAAGGAACATTTTTACGAGAACGGGCTACTGAAAGAGGAGATTGATCACAATAAACTGTTGAAAATTGACAAAATACATAGAAGGAAAAGGACAAAATAAGCAACACTTTGTTAAAGGGAAATATTATCCGAAAAACAATCAATTGCAGTGTTAATGACAGTGATAATAAATCTGTATATAAATGAAGAGTTAAAAAAAGTTTCCTCTAACCAAACACCCAAAACTGTATGACCCCAAAATAAGCTATTTAAACCTTAAAATTAAACCCTGGTGTCCCTTTAAAAAACCCTTTTTAAAAATTTTTTCAGACCGTTAATTTGAATACTTTTAAAAATATAAATTTTTCAAACCCCCTTCGGGACTGCAAGTGTTATTTACAGTATCAATATATAAATAATGTTTTGAAACGTCCAACAAGATTAAGGTAAAGGTCGTCATCACATTCATAATAGCACAGTCTGATAAGTGATTGCCTTATATAAGAGCGGTATGTTCGAGGCTAAACATTGTCAATGTAATTTCGTTTTCTATATTTATCCAGTATACATATATTTAAATGGAAAATGGCCGAGTATTTGCAACAATGAAACGCGGATGTGAAGCAATACAGAATACTGTTTTGTCTCATTTTGTATTATATTTATGGATATTATATGGTTTTCTTGTATTGTTATTTTACTTGTTCTCTTTCTTTTTGGAGTAGATGGTGATTCATCAAGACCTAGGTTGATTTCAATAAGTTAAATTTAGCTTTGTCCATATTTGTTTCCCATTCATATTATATGAATTTACTAATGGAATATATAGAAAATCACTAAAAGTATTTGGTAACAGTCTACTGTTTGAGTATTTAATGAGTCTTCAGCCAAAATATGCTTTTTTTTCATTTCCTCGAATTCCTAAGAGGCTTTGGACGCTTATCTCTGTTTCCTTTTCATTCAAGTTTTTGCCTATTGTTTTCTAGTTTAGGGCACACTCATTTTTACTGCGGGGACGACATACTGCTTTTCATGAAATGGCATCAACTTGTCAAACCTGCTTCTTCCGGTGCTAAGCGCGTGGCCAATAGCTAATTTTTATCACTTCTATGACCAAACTCAATGAAACCGAAAATATTCTCACTTTTGTCATTTGCGGAGTTTGTTAGGACTATTATATCAGAAACCGAAAGTAAAAATACTAATATATTTACTAGCAATTCTTGACGATATTTCGGATTAAGTTATAAAAGTATCCAAATGGGCATGCTTTAATTGATTCTGATTGTCAAATATAATTTTAAGCATGCTTATACAAAACAGAGTAACACCATTCATTTTAAACATATAATGTCACGTGATACAAGAGCGGGTCAAGAATTTCAAGGTTATTATTGTTTGCTACGCATGCGTACAGGATCGTGCACAAGTTGCAATGATTATTAATGATGACGTTATGGGTATGGGGGTCTTTTCCAGGAAATGAAGATTTAAAATATTTCCTTTGTGGTGTTTATGCATTAAGACAATCAAATATATTTCAGAATAAACTAAACAAATTGTTAATGAAACGGGAATATATAGGTTAACCATTTCGCTACCATTTTGTAAATTGTAATGTCGTTATGCTGTTTTTTGTGCCGTTTCTCACGTTTCAGGAGTGCAAAAAAATGTCTTCTTATAATTATACAAACAAACACACAAAAGCCATCATATCTTTATATTGTTAGTATCACAATTTGGCTTTGATTTAGGCAAGAATGTATCTTTTGGAATAAATAACCAATATATTGATACGTTCGTTGATAACAAACAATAAAATTGAAAATACTTTAAATAAGCATATCGAATAAGACTTCAATTACAACTGCACAAATATATATTTAAGCTTAAATAGACTTATGTAATCAACGAAAACAGGCACACTTGGGTGCCTACCCCTTCCAGCGTTTGCGCCATGTTTGTAGTTTCTAGTTAGGACCTTATATGGCGCTAGTAGTCTGTACCGCTTGATATTTTAGGGCTTCTCCATTTGTGTATAATTTTTTGACCATTCATTTAATTTCTTAAAATGAAATGAAAAAAATTCAAACATACCTTTTGATAAGAAAATCTACAATATCATGTCTGTTATTCCTTGCAGCTATATGTAGAGGCGTTCTTTTCTTCTTGTTTCCTTCATTAACCTTTTCCTTATAATAATGAAATAGATCTTTGAATAAATCCAAATTTTTTCCACTTGCAGCAATGTGTAAAACATTATTTCCGTCTTCATCTTCCCCAATGTTCTTTCCGTCCTCTGATTCTTCAAGGAATGTTTTTAAATCATCGCCTCCCTTTCCCAACCTTAGGCACTTTAAAATAAAATATGACATAAAATTATTTCCAATTTAAAATAAAAAAAAATAGTCTATGTTATTCTTATTTCCATATCAGATAATACAGGTGTATTTTTACTTCTGTTTAAGCCTATTCTAGGTAGCTTTGACGATAGTCCTTAGTAACCACTAATGTTTTACGTGCGTGAATAGGACATAACCTGCAACATTTTCGTTTTTTTTTTGCCATTTTGGCCGTTCTATAAGATTGTCACTGATTCTTCTCTAAAAGAAACGTGATGTAAGTATTCATTAGCATATTTAAAGCACCATAAATAAAATCACCAGACAGGGTTCATTAGTAATGCATCAGGTATGTTGCATTATGTAATCAAACTACCAAAAGTACTTTTGGACTATGCTCATCGGACGCTAAGTGTGTGATACTTCAGGACAGAAAGACTCATGACCACGCGTATTGCTCATCAAATGATATCATAAAGTCAATTTTAGTTAGCGTTTATTTTTATTACCTTAAAATAATAGGTATGTAACTATTTTACGCTGAAAAAAAGCAAATAATTAATGTAATTAGAGGAGTTTACACAAAAAACGATTGTGACAAAAAGTCATTTAAAACATGTTATTTTTAACACGATAGCTAACCTATGATATAATGTTAGATGAAGTAGAAACTAAATATACTGATGACGTCAGATACAAGAATATATTCAATAACGAGTCAATAAGAGAAGAGTTGATTGTAATCGTATTAACTAGATATAAGTAAATTCGCTGGCAAATATATGATATTAGTAGCTACCCTTTTCACTCTAATCTTGAGCACCTTAATTTCGTTTTATTCTTTATCTCTGTATTTACTTATTACTTTTTTTTTTTTTTTTTTTTTGAAATAACGGAATTCGAAAAATATGTTTATGTATTTGAAAGTGTCCAACCTCAATAAGACATTCTTTGTAGTTCTCGTAACTATCTGTGTCATTCTCATTCTCTTCATTCTCTGAGTATGGGTAATTCTCGTCGCTATCTGTGTAATAGTGTATACTCCCTGCGTCTGTGTTATTCTCGTCACTATCTGTTTCAGTCTCTATACTCTCTGAGTCTGTGTAATCCTCTTCACTATCTGTGTAATTCTCTAGCTCATTATCTTCACTGTCTGAATCATCCTCGTCCCTGTTTTCATCACTCTCTTCACTCCCAGAATGATTAGAGTTGTCCTCATTATTCTTGTAAGCATCATCATTCTACAATTGCAGTAGAAAGAAAATATTTATAAACAATTGTGTAAAATATGAGAAACATTTTTAAAAATATAAAGAAAACAGTTTAATATTATAGTTTTTATTTTTATTTCATCTTCATGTTAGAACACCACTGATAGTTACTGTAAAACTTGAATATCTACTATATTTTCGTGACTGTTTACGTTTGGTTTCGTGATGAAATATGGGTTACTTTGTCTAAATCTTAATGTGGATCTTTAAATAAAAAGAGAACAAAAACACCATAAGAACGTGCAAATTTGTTTAAATAACTGAAAATAATATATAACTTTATAATAATAAATTATCATTTAACTTTAGCTGAGGTTAAAGATTTCAATGCCAAATGTTAAAGATCTGTGTATTGAAGTTTCCCACAATAGTTTCACTGCTTATTTATTTATTTTTGTAGTTTTTTTATATCATTTTTTAATCTTATCTATTTAAATTTTTGGCGGAATCAGTTTTGACTCAAAGATTTTATTAGTTGTATTATTTTTCTCTACAGGAACAATTTTTGATACTAGAAGATATTCATGCTTTGGATATTATATATGAAATGTATATGTATGTATTATAATATTTATAATAATGTTTTGCATGAATTTTGTTATCAAAGTTTTGATAAAAACTCTTGTGATGGCAGTGGTCTGTATTGCAAAGGAAAGGGGACCAATTGGTGGGAGTTTGTTCAATTTGAGGATACGCACATTTTATTAGCGGTGGGAAGGGTTTCGGGCGAGGTCGTGCCCCAAGGTAAAAAGAAAAACATTTTGCACCAAAAGACAGTTCAAAATTGTGTGGTATTATGCCAAAGGGAACTTACCCACAAAATCTTAAGAAATGAGTTCTCTGACCATGAGTACTCTTCATAAAAATCTCTATTATTTCGTCTGGTTCCCAGCTTCCTATAGTAAAAAAGGTGGGAAAATTTAAACAGGTGAACTATCCCACTTCAACAGTAAGTCTTTATATACAAGTTTGCCAGAGCGAACCAGGAACCAATAGTGTTTGGTAAGTATGCATGTTGTTGTGCCAAAGTGAACTATCCAGGAAAATGGCCGAAACAAGAAAATGCCTGGATGAGCAAAACAAATGGCAAAAATGACAAAAAAATAACAGAAACACTTCCAGAAGAAATAATTCAAGAGGACGATTCGTTGAAAGATCCTGATTATATTCCAAGTGGTAAAACACATTTTGTATCATTTAATTAAGATTTAGTAATTTTCCAAGTCCATTGAAATTAAAAAAAACATGGTGTGGTGGGGTATTGTTTTAATATGTTACATAGTGTTACAATTAAAGAAATTTGATGATTCATAATGGTGCCATTATACTGCAGGAGTACAGACATGAACTCCTGCATTAATAACCTTTTATTTTGCTTTATCTAAAAACAATGGGCTAGTACACTATAGAAATTTACAAAATACAAATAGAATGATGTATATTATTGGGTTAGTTCACTTTTGTCATTGTAAACAAATCCCGGGTTACCCGTTGAAAATTCTTTTACCAAATTTGAAAATATGTTTGAAAAGACTTCTTAATTATATTAATAAACACAAATAAATGTTTTACATTAATAATGCCTGTTATTGTGAAAATGATAATTCTGCAGATTATTATAAGTTTGTAAAATTATTGTATGGAATATAGAGGATATTCAAGTTTTTCAAGTGGTCAAAATCGGTCCCGCCCCAGGGTCCTTGGTTTTTTCTTATATGTATATAGTAAAAACTTATAGTAAAAACTTTAAACAAAATTCTTCTAGCAATTGACAAATGCTAGAGGTTAGATATTTTGCATGAAACATTGTGTCAAAATTAGCCCCGCCCCGGGGGCCATAGGTCCAAAACCAGGTCAAAAAATTTAAAAATCATCTTCTCTAAATTTACAAAGGCCAGAGTTAAGATATTTCGCATGAAACATTGCGTAGTGAACATCTAGCAAGATAGTACAAATTATAGCCCTTGGGTAAAAATTGGCCCCACCCCAAGGGGTCATTGATTTTCACTATGTACATACAGTAAAGAAAATGAAAAATCTTCTTGTCTGAAGGTACAAGGCTTAGAGCTTTGATATTTGGTATATAATATCATCTATGGGTCCTCTACAAAAGTTCTTTTAATCATGCTCCTAGTGTTAAAATTGCCCTGCCCGAGAGGCGATGGTTTTTCTTTATATGTATAAAGTAAAAACTTGAAAAATCTTCTTCTCTGAATTGAAAAAGGCTAGAGGTTAAATATATTGCATGAGACTTTGCAAAGTGAACCTATACCAAGATTGTTCAAATTATAGCCCTGGGGTCAAAATTGGTTCCGCCCCCAAGGGATCATTGATTTTCATTAAGTACATGTAGTAAAAAAATAAAAAATACACGGCATGGAGCTTTGATGTTTGCTATATAATATCATCTATAGGTCCTCTACCAAAGTTTTTTTCAAATTTTTCCCCTGGTGTCAAAATTGGTCCTGCCTGGGGGCAGTGATTCTCATTATGTACACATAGTAAAGACAGAAAATAAAACAAATGTTTTCTGAATGGGAGAAAGCTACAGCTTAGACATTTGACTTGAAATGTTGTTTGGTGGACCTGTATCAAAATTGTTTTGACTTAAACCCTTGGGGCAAAATTTTGCCTTTCCCAAGGGGACAGTGACTTACTTTCTTGTCCTTTGATGTAGAGCAATGAAATTTTGACCATGTGCACAGTTTTAGTTGTAAAATTGAACTTTTGATATCAGGTGACCTAGAATTTGATGATGTGACCTATTTTCTTGTCCTTTGATCTACAGCTATGAAATGTGAACCATGTGAACAGATTCAGATGTAAAGTGAACTTTGATAAACAAAGTGTCTCACTGTGTTTGAAGTAGTCATGAAATTTAGGCTGTGTGAAATATGACCTTCACCTCCAAATTCACCAGACTCAAGTGCATTTATATATCCCTACTCTGATTTTTTATTGGATTAACAACAGATTTAACCACTAATCTGATAATAAGAATTAGATAAGTCAAGGATCTATGCATTATGACAATCTTCAATTGTATAAAAACAAAAAAATATGTTCACACACTACTATTTAGTGATGTATTAATGCGGTGGCAAAGCATTTTTTCTCAAATGCAATTTTGTTTTATATTGTTGAATATACACTTAATTAATGTAACTGTTACAGATGAGGAAAATTCTGATTAGAAATATCACAGAAAGATTTAAATAACAACAATGCAGAAAAAGAAATTGAGGAAAGCTACCATGTAAAATATCCAGTGGAACATACAGGTATTGATGCGGCTTGTAAAAACACAGGTATTATTGAGGCAGATATAAACAGTATTGATTCCCAAGAAACAAGATCAATAAACTCTGTTAGTGAACCTATCGTTAATAACAATAAGAGAAAAAGGAGGGCCCCTGAAACATGGAAAAAAAATGTCTGAAAGGGAAACGAAACAAAGGTAAATCCTATACTACAGTATGTGGCACAATAAAGCAAGAGAACATTTTTAAAGACTATGAATGTTTCTGTCCAAAGAAATGTAGCACTATAATCAGCCCAGAAGCAAGAAAGAAGAGTTTTGAAATATTTTACGGGAGTGGTAATTGGGAAATACAAACAATCTACATAAATGCACATGTTAAGTCACCCAGTGATGAAAGGAGGTATACTGACAAAGGTAGAAATTCTAGAAGACAGAATTCTCGATTATTATTACTTTAATGACTTCAAATTTGTACCAAGAAAATTAATTTGTAAGAATATGTTTATGAACACTCTACAGGGTCTCCGATAGGGCTCGAATACACAGAGCTATCGAAATAATTATTGAAAAAAGCGGAAACCTGGAAAGACTTGAGAGGGAGGCATGAGCCTAGTAACAAAGTAAGTCAAGATAAAAAGTCGATTTTAGTCAAAACCCATATCAATAGGTTTTCCTAAGTACACCTCAAATATTTGCAGAGGAGACGAAATACTGAACGCAAATATCTTTCACCAGATCTAAACCTTACGAAAATGTACAATCTTTATAGAGAATGGTGTTCTGAAAACAGCTTTGAGTGTGTAAGCATGTCAATGTATAACACAGTTTTATATGATAACTTTAACGATTTTTTTAAAAACACCAGAGAAAGATTCCTGCAAAATATGTGATGCAAATAAAATAGCACGAATGGTAGATGATAACGAAAAACGGAAGGAAATTGAAAAGAAACTTACTGAGCATTTACACATGAGTAAAAAAGCACGTGAAGCCCTGAAATTTGATCAGCATGTAGTCAAAACAGATAAAAAGCAACTAACAATCACATTTGATCTTCAAAAAACATTACCAACCCCGACCAATTCAGACCAGTTTGGCTTACTACAAGAGACAAATATGGGTTTATAACCTAGGCATACACTCATATCAAAGTGATGATGAAAAAAAAGTTATATGTTTATGTGGCTTGAGTTCATTGAACGCCGCCTTTCCTTGTTGATCTTGTTTTTCATATTTTTTGAAGCTGTTGCTTTACACGGGGCTCAAGAGTTTTCAGTCTGAGTCCGAGTCTGCAATTCTTATGTTATTTTGTTGTAATTAAATGCTTCCGAGGGATCACTTTGTTTCCAGAATTTTTCTTCATGTTTGAAATATTTTACAAAGACTTTCCTCGATAGTGAAATCAATCATCTGACTGCCTAGTCTGATTCGTGCGGTGGACAGAACCGAAACATAAAGGTTTGTTCATTATGGATGCATTTAGTTGCAACCACATCTCTTGAAACTGTTGATCATAAATTTCTCGTTAGTTGCCATTCCTATTTACCTTGTGATAGTGATTTTGGAGACTTTGAACGTTGCCTTAAGTATAATCCTCACATGTATGTTCCGACTGATTGGTATGATTTGGTACGTAAATCAAGAAGCAAGCACCCATTCAAAGTTATAGAGATGTCTTGCAATGATTTCTTTTCAACTAAAAAATTAGAAAAATCCATTATAAACAGATGAAATAATGCCAACAACGAAAAGGTAGAGTGGCTAAAGATTAGGCATATAAGGTTTCAGAAGTCAAGACCATACATAATGCAGTACAAGTATACACATAAACAGAGTTTAATGAAGTCAACTTAGTACCCAAACGACGAAGCCGTGGACAGAAGTTCCGGATATTGATGTTGAAGTTGGTTTGCTGTATCCAAATGGAAGAAAAATAAGTCAAGAGAAGACAAAAGACCTTAAGGAACTTTTGCCTTACATTCCACCTATGCATCACAGTTTTTATAAATCATTAGAAGTTGACAGATCTATAGAAAATGACCATCTTTGTGGAAACAGTATTGACTATAACTCTCTATAACTTTCTCATTCCAATGCGACTGACAGACTTGCCGAATGAGTTGCTCTTGAAAGTTCTTGAAAATTTGGCGACAAAAAAATTGCTCAAGGTTGCTGTCACTTGCAAATTTCTTTACAATGTTGCACACGACAAGCAATTGTGATAAAATGTCACCATGGAAATACCACAGGAATCTTTGCTTGATTACAATAGTTTTGGGCATTTATTTTATCTGCATGCTCAACATATAAATATTTTGAAATTCAAAAGCGTCAAAGGTCAAATGTATGATATCAATGGAAACCCTGCTGCTATAAATCTTCATGTTCAATTTCAGTTATGTCGTTGCAGCAGTATAAAATCCGTTGACTTAAACAGGAATTTGTTAGCGCAAAGCCTAAGTTTTGTTAAATGTATGCCACATTTAAATTGTTTAGATATAAGTGGATGCAGCTTTATTGATTTTTCAGAATTACATCATTTGTCAAGTCACCCAGGACTGAAAAACTTGAAATGACAAATTATGAATGTCTTCGGATGAATAAACCTATTGTAGTTGACTTACCACAAGTTGTCAATATCACAGAACTTAATATTGAACGAATTACATATCTATCGCCTGACCAATGCACTTTAAACTTCATTAGCTTGGATTAGTTCACTTTGGTATATGAACATGTGATGTTACATATACACAAATGCCAGAATGAACTATTCCACAAAATCATGATTTTAAAAAAAGCCGCATAAGCAGTATCAAATAAACAGTTGAGAAACAATTCTTCTTTGTCTATGTTTTATTTTGTAAAAGTAAAATATTGTCTCCCTGAAATATATTTTGTTGGGGGATTTGGAAACCTTCAGTGGCAATTTTCTGAAAATCGAAAGTATAAGGGTTTGTCCCATCCTGCATCAGACCACTCAATTATAGTTTAGAAGAGAATCAACAACCCGATTTTTACTTTTATCTTAATTTTTTTCAACACTTATAGCGAAATGAGAACTTATGTTCAACTTCACTGAGCCATATATCATTTTCAACGTTCTTAATTGACCCTGCACTTTTAAGATTTTTAGTACTTATTAATACAAAATTTAGTCATATTTTTTATTAAATTTTAAATATTCGACTCAATCTTAAGCCTGAAATGCCTCGCTGTAAGTAGTTATTACATTGGGTGATAAAACTTTGAATGTTCTGCGGCAGCATTTGAAAACACCGTGTGGTTATTGTCTTTTCCAAAACATAAGTTACTTCACAAAAGATGAGCGAAAATTGTGAAGTATCGGTTTGACTGAGCCTTAATTGAGTGGTAGCTTGTTCAAAAACATTTACTATGAATATTTAATTTATTTTCATAAGCAACGGGAATTTAATTTCCTAACAAAGATGATTTACTATGAACTAGACAATTTTACTTGTTACTTACGGAGCAAATACACTTTTATTTCGTTTGAATTATTTGTAATCAGCACTGTCACTCAAACTAGCGGTTTCAAACAATGTAAGATTAAATAAATGCTCAGATGTAGTTGATTAGTTGTTTTAACTTCAATATCTGACCAGTTTCAGAAATAATTTAAGTCATTGAATATGATTTGTAGTTAATTAAATAACGTTATTTGTTTACGTGCGCGCGCTTGAATGTCTGACTATGAAAAGCTTGAATATGTCAAAAGCAAAAACATAACATTAGCCACTGTAAAACGTATTTAGACAAATCGGGACTCGCATGCGTACAATCTACCAATCTCATTGTTGTCATGTTGAAAATAGAGACTTCTGACCGCGTTAAGTTTATTGCCGTCGCTGGTACTCGGAAGCAAAATTGGAGGCAAAGTTTTACACGAACTACAACAACTATGAGCAAGAACTATTTTAGGTAGACTACATAGATTGGAAATAAACTTGTCAACAACTCCAAGCATTGAATTACAATTTGTTTACATATTTAGTTTCTTAGCGTAGGTTAGACCGAAATACCGCATCCGTTCTGTATATTTATACATTTGTGTTCGAGGTCCTTATCCGAAGACTGACGGAAAGGGCCAAAAAGTTGCAATTGATTGTGAAAGTCGGAAACCCTATTTATAGAAGTAGTATTAGTCTAAACGAAATGGTCATTCGTGTCGCGCTATGGTAATAAATAACGAACTTATCGAAACAGTTTAAGTAGGCTATTTTTTAGAAATGTTATATTATAGTGTTATCATTTTGAAATTGTCTTTTTCCTTAGGTTCTTTCCTTTCTGTTTTACCGATCTGATTGCTGATTGCACTTCTGACATTTTTTACCGTACATATTTAAATCGACCCCGATTTCTCGAAATTTTTCTGTAAGATGTTAATTCTATTTTGTTTGAAGGCATTCGGTTTTGTGCCGAATACTGTGACATTTTAACAACAGAAACTTTGATCTGCAGTTTATACATGAGGTGTAATGTTTTTTTATGAATGGTTTTAAAGCAATTCAACAAAATAGTATATCGATCTCCCAATAAATCAATTAACAATAGTGAATCATAGTTAAATAGTTAATCATGCAAGGCCATATTGTCAAAGTGTTAAAAACGGAAATAACTGGGAGAGGAGGCATGGCACAATTGTATTACACGGCAATATTATGCACTTTGTATTGATAGGTAAGTTTGGAACCTATGAAATATGATAAAAAAATCAACAATGAACGGCGGCGTTAAATGAGTGCAAACCCCACACGACCCAGCACTACGAACCAACGGACAGAATCCCAGAAGGACCCCAAACAAAACCAAGACAGGACACAAGACAGAGCACGGACATGATTATCACATTAATAATACATAAAAAGGAAATACTCAAATGGTACTGAGAGAATTTAAGATATATCCAACTTGCCGGTTAATGTTAAGTATATCCATTTTCAAAGTCCTGAAAAGGACAATAACTTGGAACAAATGGAAGCCATAGTTATGTAACCTGCCAAGGTCATGTACTTTGTATTGATTAGAAAGTGTGTAAATGATGAATATCTGGGAAAAGTAATCCTTTGGAAGCATCAAAAACAGCAAAATGACATGAAAACTTCAGACTCGGTGTCATTTAGATTGTATGAGGATCGTGAAAAGTACAAGATCCCATACGCCCCTTTGCACCGGCTTGAGTGGTACTCAATTCTCAACACTTAAAGGTCCTGGCCTAAATGATCCCGAAGTACCATAAAAATATTACAGCACTGACGCCATTAATACAGGTAGACATAAAGATATATTCAACTTACCAGTTTAGGTTTACCTGTTATGGATAGAGGGACGGCCGTCGTATATTGTGGAATGATTCCCTTTGACTTTCTTTTGATTTTTAACCCAATACAGACATTTTTAACCCCAGAGTACAATTTCTGACCCCAAAATTACAGTTTATTTAGAAAGAAACCTATAATGTCAAGTTTTACGCAAACCATATCCCCCTTATGTCAACTGGGTATGTGCGGAAAGACAGAAGGTTCAATCATTATATGCCCAGGCGCATAATAAAAATACCCCAACCCGGTGAAATTCAAATAACATTTAATATACTATAGCAATATTCAGCAATTGATATAGAAAAGATAATTTTATTTTGATAAAAAATCAAATTTTACTTGTAGTCATTTTTTATGAAATGTTATGATATACGAAACCTGTAATGGAGAAACTATTCGGTGTGGATGAATGCGATTCATCTTGTCCCACTTCCTGCAATACAAAGAAGTCATGATATTAAAATAAAATTTAAGCGTGCGTCAACTTTTTAAAAATTTCAAACAAGTGGTGGTAGCTCCAAATACAGCCAACTAATTACCTCTGAAATAAGGAATAGCTATCACTAACTCTCATGCATTACCAAACATTGGAAACATTTACATCCTAATAGATGTTTGATCTATTCTATACCATTTGAGAAATATTATAAACATTGTTACAGAATACATGCCGTTCCGTTGTTTAGCACTAATAGTAGTAGGAGAAAAATTGCTTTATATTTTAATTGCCACTTTGACGGCATTTAAAGCACAAACGGACCACCGATTTTGGTAAGCTAGCTTGATAGCTTTATCAAATCAAAGTAATCGGTGACGCTTGAGCGACTGGAACCTACAGCTTGGGGCAACTGGTTTGGAGGTACGGAAGCCCAACCTTATTTGAATAAAATGAGTGATTATGTTACAGGAAAATGACATGGGTTATGTCATGATAAATTAGTGAAACCTTTTGCGCAAATTCGTCAGACTCAGAACAGAGATTATCCTCTATCAAATAGAATAGAGAAAAACAGAACTCCTAAACAAAGTTCAACACGGCAAAATTTAAGATGTTACAGGCTCGGTTTGATTGGGCCTGTTCATGGACGGTACTGGGAAGTGAAAGTTACCGTCCACGCCCTTAAGCAGAATTCAACATTTAAACATGAAAATGATGAAATTTTGAATTAAAAAATATCCGAAGACGTGTTCATTAAATCAATCCGGAACTAAATAAAATAAATTTTTGAAAGGGATCTGATAATTTACCGATAACTGCGATAACCGATAACTCTATTTAGTGCCACATCAGCGTTGTAGATCATTCAGTAGGACATTACTGCTGAGCTTGTCGTATTTTTATATCTTTCTATTTGCCTTTTTCTATTTTGATGGTTCAAGTATTCCTCCTTTAAATAACCTTAGATATGAAGTTTGCTGTTTAAATTTTGTCTTTGGATAGTTATCTGTAATATGCAGGCTTCATAACCTCTGATTCTCTTTCATATTTCCATTTCATTTAGTTCCGCCCATTGTTTTCTCGTTTACTTCGGGACGATAAGTTGCTTTTCATGGAATGGCATTTACATGTCACTTTGAAGGTTCCATGAAAACCGCCATATGAACACATCTGCGGATTCCAAATTCTACCATTTCATGTTATTGAATACTATTTAACCCCGTGCTAAGAGGCATGAACGATAACATACAATTTCCATTACAGTTAAGGTACGTGCTAAGATAATATTGCAACACATTTGGAAAGAAAAGTTTGATTGAGATACTCCACTTCCAGAAGATATACAACAGAGTTTGAAATGTGAAGTTTCGGCTATATGACCGTGGATTAGAGCTTTGAATCTACGAGGCAAGAGGGGTTCATAAATCTCAATATATCAACAAGTTCAACTTTATTTTATGAAAAAATATTATGACATGACAATGGTATTTACGCAGATACTTGTAAAAAATACAATTTATCGTACGTTTACAAACACAAAGTTACGAAACACTTGTTTGTTGTTCTCTATTAGGGGCTTCAAAAAAAAATTCGGAAAAATCTCGGTTTTCTGCATTTAGTAGCGGACAACCGAGATGTTCACACCTACTTCAGAAAGGTAAAAAAAATATTTGATATTAGGTTTAGACAAATAATGTTGTAACCGTAACATATAACCATAAAACATGTAGAACCCTTGATCAAGCTCAACTTTTAACACTAACCCATACAAAACAGTATAGAATTGCATTTGATAAGAGCGTGATAGATGGTTGTGTGTCTCTTCCAAGTGGCTATTGAAGAGTATCTGTATCATTACTGTTATTTAGTTTTAAAATGGACTCGTATGTTTCACATTGGATTGTATTTCAATGCTCTCTAAAATATCCATGCCGTCTGCTTGTAGAAATGCGCTAAAAATATATAGTGTATGTTGAGCACTTGGTTTATGTAGGTAATATATGCAATAATTCAAATGGTTAAAAATTCTGTTTTCTAAAGGGTTTTTTTGTGCCGTTGTTTTTGTGTTTTTTTTTTTTTTTTGTTGTTGTTTTTTGTTGTTGTTGATGTTTTGAAAAAAATAACATAGCAATCGCACAAAAGTTATACCATTAGATGCTTAATTCTTTTGGGAGAACAAATGTTATTAGGAGATGATATTAGACCGTACGTGTAATTACCACAATTAGTAATAGTCAACAGACTCAGACAGTCAACACAGTCGGTATTTACGGTAATAGATAACTAAATAAATGGCAATGGAAGAAAAATATTTATACAAATGACCCAAAATTGTTAAAATATTGCAAACGGAATTCGGAGTTTCAATTACAATAAAATTACGAGTAATAATACTTTACGATCTGTTCAATTAGTGTAACCAAAAATCAAATACTCGTACTTTCAAATTTGCTTATTGTCATAAGTCTAACTTTCAATTGTGCAAAACATTAAATTAATTAAAGGTTTATGAAAGATACGATAAAAAGTTACGTGCCAGGATTTAAAAATAATTTATTCGGAAAGAAAAAAATATAAAAAATATAAACAAAGGATCAAAATATGTGCACAATTGAAACTTTATTTCGAAAACCATAATTCACAACCTGGACTCTCTAACCACTACGCTACTCGGATATCATGCCCCTACGCACAATTGCTCTTATATCATTTCTTGTAGAAATTGTGTTCATGTATATTTTTAAATTTGCGGTTGATGACATGCCTATTTGCAAACACATGTCTGTGTGATTTTTCTTTAAAATTTAAAACAAATCAAGTTAAACCTAATCATTAAAATGCAACTAATGTAAATGAACATATTGTATTCTATAGATTTGATAGTTTAGTTGATGAACAAATTTACAAAGGCAATCTCGAAGCAAGTATCATTTATGGTGAGTTTGACTCCTTTGATGAAATTATTGGTGACAAATCAAACAATATAAATGATGTTTTTAATAATTTTGAGCATCTTTTATTTGCTTATTTAGCTGAATTCAAAAGGAGAACAATAATTAAAAACACAAGTTATAAATGTAAATGGTTTGATCGTGATTGTAAGCAAGGCAGAAAGGAGAAAAACAAAAGTTTTTGAAAGTTCAAAAAAAGCAAAGATCGCAGTAATCAGAATCAATTATTGATTGTAAAAGGAATAAATTTTTGTAAAGTAAAGATCCAATTTAGATAAATGTATCCTTCATTTAATTATGGCATCTGTTGATAATCAAAAGCAATTCTGGAAGAAAATTAGACATGCAAAACAAACAATACAAACAAAGCCTCAAATATATTTAAATCAATGGAATGATCATCTCAAATTAGTTGTTCAGGCTGATAGAAATACTGTTTATGAAAGTAATACTGAAAATGATGTGAATCAATTAGCAAAAAGGAAAATTGATATGATACAATAAGTGTTATAGTGGAGCAGAAAATGAAGTAGAAAAATTATTTGTTTAATGGTGATATTACAGATGACGAGACTAAAAGTACTTTAAATCAACGGAAATGATATAAATCAACAGCAGGAGATTTAATACCTGAACATTTTATTCAAACAATTGATTTATTACTACCATATCTGCGTATATGATATTTTAAATGGTTTGTTTCCTGAAAAGTGGTCTCTTTAAGTTCTCCTTCCTAACCATAAAAAGGGCCAACTAATAACCCTGAAAATTATAGAAGAATAGCTTTGTTACTCTTCCATTTTTCAATAAAAGTTACTTTGGTAATAATGTAACACGCACTTGATAACCCAAACGATAGAACAAGAAACTTATAAAAATCACTTGGCCGTTATCTCCAACCCAAGAAAATCCTAAAAGTTCGGGATGGGGTGCAAACATTTCAATACGATGATACGCACTAGTAATATAAAATTTAATCATAAAAGATCCTTTTTTGCAAATACGATACTGAACTCTTCCATAAATGTTTATATTCACATTACAAAGATCTAATACAAATTTCTTTTAACCATTATTCTAATAGATACAGTTAATCGATTAATAACTCGTGGAGGACTAGAACAACGTGCAATAAGATATCTATCGAACAGATCCTAAATGGCACATAAAACAAATTCTGGTTCAGGCAAAGAAGATCTACTTTTTTTACAAAATGTAATTGTAGGTTTTGAATAAAATGGCATTTTGTAACCAAACTTCAATACATCTAAAATAAACTCAGACGCACCAATGTCACTTCAAGAATTGAATAGTTTTTCTACCTTTTTTATACTATTATACATTTTTGACCTTGTTCGTACTCATTAACGCCATGTCTAAATTTAGTTTAATAAATATGATACTCATTTCTATGCACAACTTCATGCTCTGACTGTTGACTAGTTACCAGGTGATTTGGGTGTGAAAGGAGAGTCTCGGTGGAAATATCCGAAATCTCCGCAAGCGAAACAAGTTTAGTTTAATATAATATTTTATTGCAACTATTCTTTACATAAATACCTTATGGTTACATGAATGCCACATAAACAAATATTCACAAAGAGACAGAGTGCAATTGGGTCGGCTACAAGTATTGCAACATTAGCAACAGCCCTCCCCGCAACGTCAGTATTTCATAAATTATTTTTTAATAATTTACATTGACTATTGATTGATAAACAGATTAACTGTTGTAAACAGAGATAAAGGTATTGCGACAACGATTATTTCTATATTGAGTTCTTCTTTTATTTACCACATAAAATACGGTAACATGTGTCGTGATAAAGCCAATACATCCGCGTTTGTAAATACATTTTCTATTCGTCCCATATTTGGTTGGAATTGGTGTTAGTCTATTTTGTCATCAGATATTCAATTTGGCAACGTTCATAGATCGTTAACACAGCGCCGAGTTAATTTATCACAAAATCCTGCATGGGTTATCTTTTTTCTTTTCTTTTTAAAATCTGATTTATATAGAAGTTAAGGGCCTAAGTAGGTTGTTAATATCATTATCGATATATAACACCAGGGTCCTGGAGCGGCCGAGCAGAGAAGCAGAACTTTTATTACAGGGAAAAATTTGCTGCTCTGTTTCTTTTTCTTCCGTTTAAGAACCTTGTTCTCATTACTGGTGAGTTTCACTCCATCAACTTCATCACTTGCAGCTGGATTGTTGTCATAATTTCTGACTGTGTCCCAGCCTGCAATACTTTTGTCTGCTATATTAAAATGTTTGTCATATTCTCTTACAGTTCCAAACTGTACTGATATTTGCCGTTTTGTATTTCCTATATAGCCTGCTTATTTTTTCGTCAGGCCTGCTAATTAGTTTGTTCTTGTTTTGTGTCTTTCAAATTCCGACATTAAATCTTTCTCTGATTTTATTTTTTTACCTTGACGATAAAGATCTTGACTTGCTCTGCATTTATTAAGGTTTGAAAATCCAGTCTCTGGAAACGTTAAAACGTTTGAAATTTATCCAAAACAAGCTGTAATTGGAGAATTGCATTCTGCATGCAAGTCAAAACCACAAGGTGAATTTTCCAAGTATTGTTCTGACAAAACAATGACATGCAATGTAAACACAAACACAGTTAATTTAAGTTGATCGTCCAACGCTGATGCCAAATACTACAAATTACTTTAGCACGAAACCTTTGTGCAAATACTATACGATAGGATACTATATTCGACAAATGAAAAATAATAAATAATTTTCTAAATTCACTTCCACTCAACCAAAGAAAATTATATAGTTTAAAGTGGTGGAAAAGTTTTATGCTAATAAAAAGTATGCTTTTATGTTAGAATAATTCGCACTCCAATCATTGATGTCAATTAGATAATGAGAGGAATGGCGAAATTCAACCTATACTTGCAAATATTTTATTAGTATATTCAAGGTTTTTTATGGTAGATTTAAATCAGTCCACCTGTTTTAGTCTTTTTTTATCCGATATTTATAAATGATATTATTAT